TCCCTGATTTTGTTGATTTGGAGGTGCTCTTTCTTTCTTTTGGTTAACTGGGCTAGCGGTCTGTCAATCTTATTTATCTTTTCCAACAACCAGCTCTTAGATTCATTGATTCTTTGTATTGTTTTCTTTGTTTCAATTTCATTAACTTCTGCCCTGATTTTTGTTATTTCTTCTTGTCTGCTGGGTTTGGGTTTTATTTGTTGTTGCTTTTCAAAGAACTTCAGTTGCAATGTTAAGTCATTTATTTGTGTTCTTTCTGATTTTTTAATGTAGCCACTTAGAGCTATAAACTTCCCTCTAAGGACAGTTTTCAGCATGTCCCAGAGGTTTTCTTGTGTTGTATTTTCCTTTTCATTCAGTTCCAAGAATACTTTTATTTCTTTCTTAATTTCTCTTTTGACCCATTCATCATTCAGAGTGTGTTGTTTAATCTCCATGAGTTCATGTGGTGACTGGGGCTTCTTCAGGTGTTGATTGTAAGCTTTATTGCATTGTGGTCTGATAGAATGAATGGAATTATTCCAATCTTTTTGTATTTGTTGAGGTTTTGTGCCCCAGTATATGGTTGATTTGGGCAAAGGTTCCATGGGGAGCTGAATAGAAAGTATGTGTCCTAGTTTGTTCTTCATTGCTGTGACAAAATACTCTGACCAATACCAACTTGGGGAGGAAAGGGTTTATTTGTCTTACATCTTCAGCTTATAGTTCATTGTAGAGGAAAGCCAAGACTGGGAGCTCAGGGAAAGAACCAAAGTACAGAGAATGGAGCAGAGCTACTTACTGGCTTGCTCCTCTGCCTGTGCTCAGCCTGCTTTCTTATATAACACAGGCCCACCTGCCCAGGGGTGGCACCACCCACAGTAGGCTGGTCCCTCCCACATCACTCAACAATCAAGAAGGTGCCTCATGGACATGGCCACAGGCCAGTCCAATGAAGGCAATTTCCCAATTGAGGATCCCTCAACCCAGGTGTGTCAAGTTGACACTAAAGCTATCCAGCACAGTATGTCCTTTGGTGCTTGGATGGAATACTCGGTAGATGTCTGTTAGGGCCATTTGATATATGGTATTGTTTAATTCAGATGTCTCTCTGTTAAGTCTCTGCCCTGTTGACTTATCTAATGGAGACAGTGGGGTATTGAAGTCCACTACTATTAATGAATTGGGATTAATCTGAATCTTAAAGTCATATAGTATTGTTTTTATGAAGTTGGGTGCACCAGAGTTTGGTGAATATATGTTCATGATTGTAATATCTTCTTGATTTATTGTTCCTTTGATCAGAATGAATGGCCGCTTTATCTCTTCTGATTAGTTTTAGTTTAAAGTCTACTTTATCAGATATTAGAATTGCTGCTCCTGCTTTTTTCTTAGTACCATTCGCTTGGTGTATTTTTTCCATCCTTTCACTTTAAGGTAGTGCCTGTCCTTGAAAGTGAGATGAGTTTCTTGCAGACAACAGAAAGATGGGTTTTATTTCTTAATCCACTCACCTAGTGTGTCTTTTGATTGGGGAGTTCAGTCCATTAACATTCAAAGTTATTAATGAAAGATGTGTTCTTTCCCCTTCGACTATAATAGACATTTTGGCTGGGTATAATAATCTGGATTGGCACCTGTGATCATTTAGAACTGGGAATACTTTGTTTGGTCCAGGCTCTTCTGGCTTTCATAGTTTGCACTGAAAAGTCAGCTGTAATCCTAATGTGTTTTCCTTTATATGTGACTTGCTGTTTTTCTTTTGCAGCTTTCAGTATTGTCTCTTTGTTCTGCATGTTTAGTGTTTTTACTATGATGTGCCATGGAGAGTTTCTTTTCTGGTCCTGTCTGTTTGGTGTTCTATATACCTCTTGTATTTGTATGGGCATGTCGTTCTTTAATTTTGGGAAGGTTTTGTCTATGATTCTGTTGAGGATCTGGTCCATGCCATTATCTTGGGATTCTTCTCCTTTCTGTATGCTTATGATTCATGAGTTTGGTCTTTTTATGATGTCACATAATTCCTGCATACTCCATTTTTGTGCTTTCTTAAATTTTTCATAATCTTTGCTTGAGTGGTCTAGTTCATCCACTTCATCTTCCAGTCTTGATACTCTGTTTTCCATTTCATTCATCCTATTGGTGAGGCTTTCTCCTGTCCTTTCTAATTGGCTCACTGAGTGTTTCACTTCCTTCTTCATTTCAGCCTGAGCATTCTGCAATATTTCTAACTCTTTTCTGAATTCATTCAGAAGTTTTTCCCTATCTTCTTTCAGTTCTTTGAGTTCTTTGTGTGTTCTTTAAATTCACTGAATTCTTTTATCATGCTTATAATTGTTCTTTTGAATTCCATGTCCTGTGTTATCTCTAGCAGGTTCTCATTGTACTCCTCTATAGGGCTGTTGGTGCTTTGTGTGGATATATTTTTCAGGTTTTTCATGTTATTATTTTTTTGCTGTGACTTTGACATGTGGATTTCTTTTGTAGTTTCTGGTTCTTGTGTGAGATGATTAGGTCTGATTCTTTTTGTAAACTTTATCTGCCTTTGTGTTTTACTTTTTGGGCATGAAAAGCTGGTTCTCTAAGCTTCTGGTTCTCTCTTTTGATTTTATATTGGAGTGGCCAGATTGCTTTTGTCTTCAGGAGTTCCCACAGAGGCCCAAGTCAGATGAGGATCAGATGCTCTCAGGCTTTCTCCTAAGGTCTGGATCCCTTCAGGAAAGATGTTGTCCTCAGGAATTTGGCAGTTAGACTGGCCTAGGAGCAGGGCCCAGGAAAAATGCTGGTCTTGAGCAGCTGGTGGCCATGCCACCCAGAGATGCAAAAGGAGATGGGGGCGGGAAGAGGCCGCAAGGGCTCCTGGGGACTGCAGGGAGGAACTGGGTTGGTCTGGATTCAAAGGATCAGGAAGCCGAGAAGTCACTCCTGGTGTCCAGAAAAGAGGCTGGCAGGTTGTGCAGCCCAGGGAAGCAGAGGGAGGTGAGGGCGGAACCAGGCCCAGAGGGCTCTATTAATGAGCTTCTTGATCTTCCAGATCTCCACCTCCTCCTCTCTAAGGGTCCAGTCCTGGGAGGTAGTGGCTGCTCCTCCCTGGCGGCAACTCCGTGGAGGCGGCGGCTCTGACATAGGACACTGGCTCCCTCTCTCCAGGCAGCTGCATGTGTTGCAATCCGCTCACATGGGGCCTCTGAATCATTATCTTTATCAGCCTCTTGTTCCAAATGAAGGAATATGAAGTAAAAGGTAGTAGAAGGCCATCAACCTAAGACCACTGTAGGGTCCTGTATTGGGATTTCCATATAGACACCATTGACGTGAATCTAGATGTAGCTCTCACCTGTGACTACACATTTTGGGAGTTGTTTCCCCCCCAACAAAAGCATCAGTCAATGGAGATAGCTCTGTTGTATCCCTACACGCAGGCAAATGTTTCCAGTCTATCTTTTCACACCACGGGTGATGTCCCTTGCAGGATTTTAAGTGTAGGACAGAAGTGGCAGGATCCTTTAGTCATGTGCTTGTAGTGGGGCAAGCAGTGCCCTGCCATTTGTCTCCAGGATTCCAGTTCTTCCCACCCACATATGCCCGTGCATCAGCTGTAATTCTTCAAGTGCTCGCCATCCTGGATTCTGTTTCACTTACTTTATTCCGCACCTGAAGAGTTCTTCAACTTTACTGAAAACTCAGCAAAGCAATAGGAAAGATGTTTACGGAGATTTGTCTGTCATCTAGGTGTTTTAAAGCAGGGAAGTTTCAAAATTTTGAGTCTGCCTCTTCCAGAGACGTTAAATTCATTGTGTGTATGCATAGAATATATATCTTCTCTGAAGATTTTCATATTTTGTTTCAATGTTCCTAGAACTTTTCACATGAAATTTTTTTTCAGTCTTTAAAAATTTTTAATTTTTGTGAATTTCATACAATATATTTTGATCGTATTTAGAGTCCTTCCAATATCTGTACCTCCATTTCTTCATCAAGTTTCTGTATTCTACTAAGAGAGAGAGAAAGAGAGAGGGAGAGGGAGAGAGAGAGAGAGAGAGAGAGAGAGAGAGAGAAAGAAAGAAAGAAAGAAAGAAAGAAAGAAAGAGATAAAGGCCTATAGAGTCAGGTTTGTGTCCTCAATGTCTCTTGGTGTGAGTCTATCCACAGGAGCCTAGTTGACCTATTGATCATCGCTCCCTTAAAGAAAACCAACTCTCCCTCTACTAGTAGTTATCATTTGCCAATAGTTCCTCAGTTAAGGTTGGGGCTTCTTCCCCACTTCCCCACTTCTATGCTGGGTTTTTGTTTGGTTTGAGTTTACATGGGTCTTGTGCATGCTGTCACCATTGCTGTAAGTTCATATGAGCAACTTCCCAGCCACCTGGAAACCTCAGTTTCCTTGGTCATCTACCACCCATGGCTTTTACAGTCTTTCTGACCTTTCTTACAGTCATTCTTCCACAATGGTTCCTCAATGGTAGCCAGGGGTGACAGAGGTTTGATATAGGTGTCCTACTCAGAGACAAGCACTCCATAGTCTCTTATTCTCTGCACTTTGGCCAGTTGTGGTTTTCTGGGTTAATCACCGTCTGTTGCATGAGGAAGCTTTGCTGTTGAGAGTTGAGAGGTGCATTAATATCTTTCTGCCCCCTGTTCTGCTATGTTCCCTCATATGTTCTGCTCTGTGCCTTAAGTGTAGAGGTTGCACTGTAGATGTGTCACTTTGGGATGGGTATCTCACAGACATTTATTCTCTGTGCTTGACTAGTTGTAGAACTCTGTAATAGACTCCATCTGTTGCAAAAAGAAACTTTTAAAAAAACTTTTAAAAAATTTTTATTATTTTTATTTTATGTGTATGTATGTATTGCCTGCATGTAGGTAAGTGCACTCGCATCGTGCAATGCCCATGGAGGTCAGAAGAGGCTGTTGGATCTTCTGGGACTGGAGTTTCCGACAGTTGTTAGCTGCCATGTAGGTGCTGGGATTCGAACCTGGGTCTTCTGCTAGAACAACCAGTGTTCTTAACCGCTAAGCCATCTCTCAAGCCACCAAAAAGAAACTTTTGATGAGTGGTGGAGAGGTACACTTGTCTGTAAAATACAAGGTGCATATTTAGAGTACAGTAAGAAACCACATTGGTCTAAGGATGTGACAAAAGTAGGTTTTTCTCTAGGATCTATAACCTCTCCAGCCCTGTTTATTTGGCTATGTTTACAGCACCACACATGAGTTCCCTCCCATTGAGTCAGCCTTAATTCCAATTAAGTTGTTGATTACTTTTAAGATAAAAGTGCCACTACAGCCGGGCTTGTAGGTGCATGCCTTTAATCCCAGCACTTGGGAGGCAGAGGCAGGCAGATCTTTGTGAGTTCGAGACCAGCCTGGTCTACATAGTGAGTTCCAGGACAGCTGGGGCTACAGGGAGACCCTGTCTCAAAAAGACAAAAACAAAAACAAAAACAATAGTGCCACTACAGTACCAATAGTTTGCAGAGCCAATCATTATTTATTGGGTTTTAAAGCTGGATAGGACCATTGATTGGTTTTCACCCTGGGTACTTGTATAGCATTCTCTGATACCATGAGAGCTAATCTTCAGGCTTCCAGGTTAGTTCCAGCGGGATTGCTCCAAGTCCTGTGCCCAAAGTGTGGCCTGTCTTCATCAAATAGGGTCTTAACCTTCAAGTTCTGGGAGGCAGTCAAGGACTGTGGCAATATCCTGTGCTAGGAGTCTCTTGGACTACCCTGACCAACAACTCAAAGAGAGGTTTCTCATGTCTGGCACTGTTGGTTTTTTTGTTTGTTTGTTTATTTGTTTTTGTTATATAGCTTCAGCTATACATATGCAGTTGTATATACACTGTATGTGAATTTTCCAGCAGGCTTTTTGAACCAATACATTTCCCTCTGTTTTTTTTTTTTTACACAAAAATAGTGATTAGATGCCACAAAGTAGGTGGCAATGCTTTAACCATATGAGTGCTGTTAGACCCAAGGGCTTGTCAAGGGGAGCACTACCTTTCCTTTCATTGAACACAGGACAGAATTGTTTATAACAAAGCAGTGATTACTAATCCACCTTTTAGAATATATCTGTCTTAAAGGTTAGAGTCCCTCAAAATGAGTGTCAAACAGGATCTGGGTTCAGGACTGCTATCATCTTACCTTTCCATGATCGTTTATGATTCAAATAAAATTCTTGTTTTCTGTGTTGTTCTGCCTGTAGGTCAAGAAATCAATGTCTCAGATAGACAAACAAGTATGCATCCCACCGGAGCTGCCGGAAATGCTGAAGCAGTTTACCAAAGCTGCCATCTGGACCCAGCCTCAGGATCTCATGCAGTGGGCGGCGGAGTAAGTTTTCCTCTGTCACCTCAGGCTCCCTTGGAAGACAGGAATGAGGAGAAAAGGTTTTGAAAACCTGAGGTTGTCAGGCCTGAAGTCAGGCAGTGCGGACTGATTAGCCTAACTTTTGTAATTTTCAGATTCTTTAAATCTACACATAAATACATGAAAGAGATCGAGGATGGGATGCTAAACTAGCCAGACTGAGTAGCAATGTGCCGGGGCAATAGGCCATGTGTCCTGGGGCAAACAGCAGCTGTTAGATTACCATGCCACTCTAGCACACGTCTTCCTACAGCATCCCTGCATGCAGTCAGCTGAACCTTGCTTGCAGCTCAGCCTGCCTTTCCCAGTTTTAAACCTGCACCCCGTTCTCCTATCTCACCGCTAGATGGCAGCAGTGCCCCAGGGGCGCTCTACTCCAGCTGACAGGGTGGACCACTCACACTAAGCTAGTCTGCTTTTTTAATGAAACACCTTCCTCCGTGGCAAAAGACATTTTGCATCCTGTCTTTGGGAAGACTGTTATTTTCTTAAGTGGATTTTATGGAACTGATCTTCCTGTACAGAAAGATGTCCGTGGTCACATGGCATTCTGGAAAGTGAGGCAGAACTGAGCGAGGAGGTCAAGTCCTACTGTATAGTGTGGCTCAAGCATGCGGCGCCTTGGAGAGCCCCCAGAGGCCGCTCAGAGTATGAGTTTGCACAGTAGCTGCCGGCTTGTTCCCTCCGGGTTACATAGAAGGCCTCCCAGCTATGAAATTGCTTCTTAGAACAGGGCAGCCTGGCTTGGAGCAGGAGGTGGGAGTTAGTAAGACCCTCCTGGATCCTTTTCTGGCTGTATTCCCTGCTGGATGATCACTACATTAGCAGTGCCTGTAGTTGTGGAGGGGAGAGGTGGTGGACTATAGAAAAGGAATCTGAGGTGTGAGAAGGTTTATCCAGCTAGTGCAGGGAAACCTGTGAACCCCTTTCTGAAGACACATGAAGGCACAAGAAGCCCTTTCAGAGGCTACGCTAGTGCTCGCCTGCTCCCTAGGCTGGGCCAGGATGAAGCTTTTTGCAGAGGGAGGAAAGTAAGCCAGAGGTGCTGTAAAAAAGATCTAAATGGAGTTGCTTTGCCTAGTCATGAATCCTGTGTGGTTTCTATTTTAAATCGTATATATTACCTCTAAGATTGGACTTTAACATCAGAAGACTAATTTCTTTTGGCATAGACAGATTTAGTTTTCTACCATATGATTGTTTAAAACTTCATTTTATTGTTCCTGTGCTACTGCATTATAGTAAGAAATGACGTTTCTTGGTATTGTCCCTGACATTTATGGAGGAAAACTTTCCACTATTGTGGCTTGCTTGCTTCATATTGTATGACGTGCCATAAATTTTTTAGACATCCATGAAAGATCAGTTTGTACTTTAATGGCAATGAAAAAGAGCATGACCTAAGAACATTCTCCATCCTGTTTAGACATCAGAAGTACTTATCAGATCATTTTATGTGACTTACAAACTTTTAGCACATAGAACTCCACAAAGTATTTCCAAGATAAAACATGTTTTTAATTCATTGCATGCAAGAATTCCTTACCTATGCCCCATCAACGAAGAAACCACTTCTCAGGCATCACCAGGACATTTACTTGCTTTCCCTGTAGCAGGCATGTGTGACAGCATAAATTTGTACCTCTGTAGCCATGGAGTTGCTCACTTGCAATGAAGCTCAATTTTGGTCTAGAGGACCAAATCCATGAGCAGAGTTTCATTTCCATGTTCACTAACCAAGCACTAAAAAAAATCCAAAGCTATTTGGAGAGTCCTCAGTATAACTCCTCCTGGACAGTCACTTCTGAGTAACGAGGTGCTGTGGTACTGCTGTCTCTGCCATTTAAATCTCCCTCATCTGGTTAGACCCTATTCTTAGGGGTCAAGTTGTACCACATTCACCCAAACACTGGCCTTCCTATGGAGATTTCTCATATATACTGTCAAAAAGTGTCCCTAAAGAATTTCTTCTGCTCTTCCTGCTAAGGACCTCCAAGGGGGGGGTCTGAAAGATACTGTTTTGGTCCCTATAGCTTTAACTCTGGTTGCTATGTGCCTCAGAGATAGACAATACTTAGCTCCACTATCTACATGGGATTTTCTAAAACACCTCTGTGTTCTTTTCACTCTACCCGGATATGAAGAAAGAAATGGAGTCAGGGAAGTAGAAAGGGACAGAAGTTTGTGATTTAGGGATAATAAAAGACTTTTTGATGGAGACGGACCCTGACATTTTAGGATGTACAAGTCAATTGCATGTGCCCACTCCCTGCTGGAAGCAGCCTCTTTCCATCTTGTGCCAATCCTGAAATAGGACTCAGTCCCACTCCACAAAGCAGTGGAGGACAGACATATTAAACTGGAATCTTTGAGGCTTTTGCTTCATATCCACCACATAAAACTGTTTCAACCCTTCTTTTGCTTGTCTTTTCTCCTGTGCCCACCCTCTTCATGCCAGCCTTTTCCTTCCTTGCTGAAGCCCCAGGCAAGCCTCACTACCCCAGGCCAGAAACTCTTTCTCACTCACCCTTCAACATCCTTTACGTTATTTTTCATGTATGTCACTCTCATCTTCTTCTGGTTTCTTTTACCTACCTATTGCCTAGCACCAAATACATACACATATATCCTATAACTGACCTAAGAGCTATATGTCTGTCTGTGTGAATAAAACACTAAGGAAGGATGACGGAAGGGGCGTGTACTGATGCCCCAGGTGATTGCGTGCCAAACTTCTGTTGGTTGATCCTCATATCCCTAGAGAAGAGAAAAACTTTTTATTCCCTAAGCATTCCTCCTTCCTTAAGTGTAAAATAACATAGACTCTTCCCATATGCAAATGAACCAAACAGTGTCTAAATTAAATACTATATTTTTTCCTCTACTCCCTTCCCTCAACAAGAGTAAATGTCTAAAACAGCCAGATGCCCCTGGAACATAGGACCTTCCTCTACTCTTTAACCCTTTTTTTTTTGCAGGTATTTTGAGGCCATGTCCCGTGGAGAGATTCCTCCAGGGACAGAGCGATCTCAGCAAGTTGCTTTATCCAACTGGGCTGAGCTGACACCGGAACTGTTAAAGACCCTGCATTCCCGAGTAAGGGGCATGTGGGGATGATGTTGAGGCTAAGTGAGTACAGACAAGCGCCACTTAGCACTACCCTACAGTTCACTAAATCCTAGACTGAAAGTAGATTTTCAATGGGACAAACAGGAATTCATGTGGAAGAGGCTGGAGGATGAGCTGTCCTGGGGTCATCACAGATTCCCCCTAACTAGCAGAATGTTCAGGAGCTCCATGCAATGCTAGTGTTTCTCTCCTACAGTCTCTCAACAGTGTCTCCCTAATGGATCAAGACCATGAGAGGAGACCCAATCATAATTTTGAGAGCACTGCATATGTACTTTCACTGCTATCCCAGGTCCAGGTACAGCCTAGATTTCAGGGAAAACCCTGACACTCTCCATACTACATTGTCCTGGGAGTTAGCCTATGAATGGAAGAGGATGAACTAGCTTAAAGAAAACTGTGTTTTGGCCAGTTCCTAGGAAGCATGGATGAGCAGCACCATTCCCTGCATTAGGATCCAGAACAGAGGAGTTTGGGTGATTCAGGACCTACCTTGCATTCCAGAGGCTCAGCATTTCATTAGGATCAAAGCCCCTGGAAAAGTGATGGGACACTTCACTGGGGGTATCTGCACTCTCATTGTAACATTAACCAACAACCAGCTACCCATTCCCCTCTCCCTTTAACTGCTAAGTCCTCTGTGCAGTGAACATGGTACAGCTCTAAAGTTCCTGGGATTAGGTGTTAGATCTCTAGCCTAAACCCCAAGAGTCAGCCACATGGGTACCACATATCATTCCTGGGAAGACAGAAGCAAAGAACCCAGTGAAGTCTAGAATAGACAATGTCTTGTTCTTGATTCACCACTCACTAGAGGTCTCAGGCAACCTTCAGACTGTGGTTCTGTTTTTCAAGCTGTCCTATCTGCCTTACAGGGACAACCTAGGAATAAAACTAGAGACCATAAAGGCATCAGAAAAAAATTAGATGTTGTATAAATGTTTATCTTTCCCATAATTCTGACATCTGGAGTTTAAAAATATTAAGTTACATGCTCTTTGCTAATCCTTGCAAAGACAACTGCCAAACAAGAACCTCTGGTCTCTGTAGCTCCCTATCCCCATCTTTGTGCTGTGACAACTCAGGGCAGCTTGCTTGTCCTCATGTTCTGTGTTCTGTCTGTTCCTTATCCTGCAGGTTGCTGGCAGACTGATCATCCATGCAGATGAACTGGCCCAGATGTGGAAGGTGCTGAATCTCCCAACAAATCTGTTTAACAGTGTGATGAATGTGGGTCGCTTCACAGAGGAGATTGAGTGGCTGAAGTTTTTAGCCCTTGCTTGTAGCTCCCTTGGAGTTGTAAGTTAGCTTTTTTGCATTTTTATCCCATAAAGGAAGAGGGCTGGAGATATAACTCAGTGGTAGAGTACTGGCCTAATATGGGGTGAGGCCCTAGGTTCAATTCTTAGTAATACAAAAACAAACTTTGAAATATTCCATAATTTCTCTCTGGGCCTGGAAGGGCAATCCATCTGTATCCAGTCAGCTCTCCAGATGAGGCTGTTCTGTGTGACTTCTGCTCTCTGAATTAAGGCCATTTCCAGGCTCAGCAGCCAAAAGCAGGAGCTTGGGCAAGAGGGGGCCCATCATCGGGCTCTGCAGAGAGTTGGTCAAAGTATGGCTTTGGGTTATGTGTGAATTTTCAGTCATTGCCCTCAGATTTATTTTCACTCTGTTCTACCCACTTCTTCATAATTCCTAGCAATACAGAGCCAGCTGTAGAATAAGACTTGTTTATTTTTAGGGCCAAGATACCTAGAAGCCATACCAATAGAGACCTTAAAAGAGGTTCAACCTTAAAGAAAGCTATTGGTAAACATGTGGATACCAGAAATAAGAAAGCAAGAGGTTTTTTGTTTGTTTGTTTTTTGTTTTTTAATTTTAAGAAAGCAAGAACAGAGAAGAGGTTATTTTTAGAATTATAATAGTCATGGATGAAGGATATTCATGTAAATTCATGACTTTTCCGAATTTGATTGTTTGGTAACTGGAAAAGGCATTTCTCAGTTTTGAAAGAAAAGATGGTGAAACCGACTTTTATGTGTGTCTAAAACTTAGGTGTCTACTATGCAGATTCCCTCTTGTTAACCACTGATAATGAACAAAACTAAAACAAATGATTTTTTAAAATATTTTATTTATTTTTTATGTGTCTGAGTATATTGCTTGCATGTATGTAAGTGCACCCATTGTCATACAATGACCACAAAGGTCAGAAGAGGGCATTGTATCCCCTGGAATTGGAGTTATGGATGATTGTTAGTCACCTTGTGGGTGTTGGGAATAGAACCTGGGTCCTCTGCAAGAGCAGCCAGTGCTCTTAACCACTGAACAATCTCTCCAGCCCCCAAACAAATAATTTTAGAAAGTGAGTCATCACTAATTTTTAAAGCCCTTGAAATACATATAAGTTTAAGAATTAATGAGGAAAGCATTGCCTCTGTTCAAGTCAACAAGTATAAAAATGTAGTTTGAATCATTCAGCACATCCAAGCACGATCCTGTTCTTTCTTTTCAAATGTGCTTGGAACACATATTTGGCATTTTTGTTTCTCTGTAAATTTGGCAGAAATATTGGAATCCAATTTTCCCATGGGTTTCCCCTGCAACTATCATCATAATCATTTCTTTAAAGAGAAGGAAAGAGGGGACTATTTGCAGTTTATTTTTTCATTGTCTTTCATAGCAACATTATATAATGAATAAATTATTATTCTCCAAAGAGGCGAGGCAAATAGAACAGGACAAATGAGCTGTCAATCAGGATTGGGCTCACATTTGCAGGAAACAAAAAGACTTAAGAACTGAAAGAAATCATAAATAATATTTTTTAAAAATTGTAACTTTATTTTTATTTTATGTGTATGAGTGTTTTGCCTACATGTATGTAAGTGCACCTGTGTCATGTAACTCCCAAAGAGGCCAGAAGAGTGTGTCAGATCCCATGGAACTGGATTTTCAGGTGGTTGTTATGTGCCATGTGAGTGCTGGGAACTGAACCCAGGTCCTCTGGGTTCCAATGCTTGGGGGCTAGAGAGATGGCTCAGAGGTTAAGAGCACTGTTGCTCTTGCAGAGGATATGGGTTTGATTCCCAGAACCCACATGGTAGCTAACAACTATCTGTAACTCAAGTTCCAGGGAATCTTCCAGGGGCATTGCACAACATGGGTGCACTTACTTGCATGAGGCCTAGGAAGATGGAAATCAATTTGGTTCATCTTCCTAGAGAATTTTGCTGGATGGCAATGATTTTAAATGTTATTTACTGGAGTTTGAATGTAAGATTGGTTAGTGCTTTGGCTAGGCAGTTTGTGTTCTCCAAATTCATGTTGAAAGTCCCAAGGAGATGGTATTATGAGTAGGCTTTGGGAGAGGGGTGGAGGGATGATTACATCATGAGAGTGCAAGCCTCATGAATGGGGATTAGTGTTTTATGAATGGGGATTGAAGGAGGCTGTTTGCCCCTTTAGAGTTAGTAAGAATCACCATCTATGAATAATAGGTCTTCATCAGCCCTTGATCTTCTACTTCCCAGCCTCCAGCCAGAACTGTTTGCAATAAATTTCTGACTTTTATTATATTACTGAGTCTAAGATGTACTATAGAAGCCTGAACAAAGTCAGGGTGTCACCATTTAGTAGAGGGCTTACATTCCAGTTAATCCATATATCCTTGGAGACAAGTCTAGGAATTCTTCCTTCTTTTACAAGTAAGCTATGATGAATGAAGATCTCTGCTTATATTAGACTTGAATTTATCAGAAGTTCCACTCCAAAGAATTCTTTAATCCATTCATCTATTTATTAGTTAGAATTTTAGGCTTGTATGAATGATCAATAAATGATGACTTTTGAGTTCAGAAGCACTTTCTGTACAGTAATAAAGTATCACAGGCTGAATGCCTTAAAAAACAAAAATGTATTGCCTTACAGTATATTGTCTTACAGTTTTGGAGGCCTGAAGTTTCAAGGTCTGTGTGCTTTCAAGGCTTATTTCTTCTGAGGCCTCTGTCATTGGCATGTAAAGGGCTATTTTGCTCCTGTATCCCTAAGTCCACGTATGTCATGTCTCGTTCCTGTTACACTCTCCTTATGAACACACTGATCATATTGGATTAAGGTCCATCCTAATTACTTCATTTCAACTTAATCAGCTCTTTACCTGTTGATGCTGGGTGGTGTTTTGGTTTGGCTTTTTGTTTATTGAAGAGTATCATTATGTAGTCCAGGATGGCCTTGAACTTTTCATCTTCCTACCTCAACCTCCCAAGTGCTTTACTTACAGGTGTCACCATTATAACTGGTTTTAATTAACTCTTTAAAAGTCCTGTTTCCAAATACAATCAAATTCTCAGATTCGGAGACTTGGACTTCAATATATGAACTTGAGGGGGAGGACAGTTCAGGCAGTAACAGCATCTCAAGGAAGAGTACAACATAACAAAGTGGGGGTACGGGAATTGCCTTAGAGAAGTAGAGAGTACTGAAAGTGGAATGATGCAGTCCAGTGCATATACTCTTGCTTGCAAATCTACTCCAAACCACTTCCATGCTGACCTCATCTCACACTCAGACCTTCCCATCCCACTGAGAGCCTCACACATGCCACCCTCCCAACTGTCTGTGTTAATGGAGGTACTCAGAATGAGGCCTCCTGTAAGGCTTCATAGTGTTTTCCATGCGAGGATCTCCAGGAAAGTGGCCTGCTACAAAGCTACAAACCTCAAAAAATTTTGACATCCTAAGACTTATTATTTTAAAATGATTGTATGCTGAAGAGCTTAGTTCACAAAATGTTTGTTAAAATATTAACTCAAAATGAATAGTAATCAGTGAAGATAGCATTTAAAATCATTGCCATCCAGCAAAATTCTCTAGGAAGATGAACCAAATTGATTCCCATCTTTGTAGGCCTCACAACAAAAGCAGCACCATCTAGACAGTGTTTTCAAGGTTCCCTCTTCCCTGGTGACTTTAGTTTGTGTCAAGTTGAAAATAAAACTAACCAGGACAGTGTTATATTAAAAAAGCAAACAAACAAAACAACAACAACAATAAAAAAAACAACAACTAGATGATTTTATTTAGGTAAATGCCTATGGAAAGGAATGGGTTTTTAATCTTGATGTTCATTACCATTTTTCCAGCATGTGGGACTCCTATCTTCTTAGAGACATTATTACCCTTTTCTCACTCTCTTCATCTCTATTAGGGCTTTGCCAAACGTAACTCTTAGGATCTTAATATGATAGATGGATTAGCTCTATCCTTTAGGTGATAAGATTGGAGGACAATAATAAGAGGGTTTTTTATTTATTATTCTCTCTCGTTTGCTCTCTCTCTCTCTCTCGTGCGCTCTGTGTCTTGCTCTTGCTCACTCTGTATGGGGGCAGTGCGGGGTGTGTGCAAGTGCATGGCGTCAGGAGACAGCTTTCAGGAACTGGTTCTCTCCTCCTACCATGTGTGTCCCAGGGATTGAAACCAGGTCTTCAGGCTTGGTGTCAGGTGCTTTTACTCACCAAGCCATCTCACTGGCCCAAAATAGATCTAATTTTCTTAGATGTAAACTCAGCTCTCCTTTGATGAAGTATTCTGATTAAACTAATAAATATCTTAAGGAATATTTGGAATTCCCTGACAGTAGCCCTCCAAAAAAGAAAGGAAAGAAGATGGAATGATGTTCAATAGTCGGTATGGTTAGAATAAATTGATTTAGTGAAAATGTAAAGTTTTCTAGAATCTGAAATCATTCCTACCTCATCTTGTATGAAACAATATTTTTGTTTGCTTTCTTGTGTCTAAATAAATTTGAGGGAAGTATCCCTGAAGGAGTGACTATCTCCTCATTCTGTCTTATGGTTTTATAGACCATTGCCAAAACTCTCAAGATAGTGTGTGAAGTTTTATCCTGTGATCATGATGGAGGACCACCTCGGATTCCTTTCAGCACCTTCCAATTTCTCTACAAGTATATCGCTGAAGTAGATGGAGAAATCTCTTCATCCCATGTCAGCAGGATGCTAAACTACATTGAACAGGAAGTGTAAGTAAATTTTTAGCTATTGAAAATCAAAGTATACTGGGAGGAAGACCTAGTGGGTCAAGTTATAGCAAGGCTGCTAAACACAGGCCCTGACTTACAATGACGTCATCTACAATATTTCAATTTTACAATGATGTAAAACCATTTTTCAGTTAGTAGGAACTAATTTCCTGAGCTGGCAATATTGCAGTATAATATCCCCTTTGATGCAAGTCACAGCTCCCAATCAGTCTTGTGATCCTTAAGGGAGCCAATACTTTGTCATGTACTTGTACTGTGTTACCAAGCTGGGGTGGCCAATAACTTTGAAATTTAGATTTGACATTTTTTATTCAGATTTTTAAGATTTATTTTTGGTTTTTGTTTTTAAAAATATTTTATTTATTATATTTATTTTATATGATGAGTGCTTTACCTGAGTGGATGTAAGTGCACCATGTGCATACAATCCCTGCAGAAGCTAGAAGAGAGTATTGGATCCCCTAGAACTAGTTATGAACAGTTGTTAGCCACTATGTGGGTGCTGGGAACCAAGCCTGGGTCTTCTACAAGAGCATCCAGTACTCTTAACTGCTGAACCACCTCTTCAGCCCCAGGATTTATTTTTATTTTTAAAATATGTGTATGTATGTGTGTCTATGCTTAAGTATGTACACATGAGTGTAGGTGCCCTCAGAGGCACCCCTGGACGTGGTGTTATAGGTAGTTGTGAACTATCTGACATGGGTGCTGGGAACCAAATTCAGGTCCTCTGAAAGAGCAGTATGCATTTTTAACCACTGATCCATCTCTTCAGTCCCTAGACACAGTATTTTTAACTTTAGATGGGTTTTATCAGGAGTCACAGACTTGCATCCCATCATAAGCCAAAAATAACTATATATTATTCTGTTTTGAGGAACATGATATACTGATTTGAGAAAAGATAAAAAGATGGAGCTGGAGAGATGGCTCAGTGGTTAGGAGCACTGACTGCTCTTCCAGAGGACCCAGGTTCGATTCCCAGCACCCACATGGCAGCTATGAACCGTCCTTAACTCCATTTCCAGGGGAATCCGAAGCCCTCTTCTGATCTCTGCGACACCGCACGACATGGGTGCGCTCACATACATGCAGGCAATACACTCATACACATAAAATAAAAATAAAAAATATTTTTAAAAAGGAAATAATTATGTAGGAAGGTGACTCCTAGAAGGCTGCTGAAGTCAATAGCAAAAGCAGAACTTGGGAGCATGGTAGAAATGCAGAGTCCCAGGCTCCATCCTGGATTTACTAAGAAACTCTGGGGATGAGGTCCAAGAATTTGTGTCTTAATAAGCCATCCAGGTGCCTCTCAGGTTGAGCAGTGGAGGAGGAAGAGGCATAGAGACAGAGGCAGAAAAGAAAGCCCAGGAGGAGGAGAAGGATCGGGAAGAGGCAGAGAACTAAGAGTTAAAAGAAAGGGCTGAGATGGCTCAGCATATAATGGTGCTTATTGATCATGCCCGGAGACCTGGAGGCCTGAGCTCAACCCTGGAGCCCATGTAAAGGTACAACTCCAAAAAGTTGTACTCTGACCCCACCCCACCGCAGATGTGACATGGCACACACACACAATACTAGTAAAATAATAATAAAAATAAAAAATAAAATAATAATACTTTTTTAAAGAGTTAAGGGTATATGACGCCTTGAGGCTACAGCAGCAAAACAAGTTTGGAGTGATAGAGTTCTTTATATGGTATCTTTCTTAAGATTAATTGTTAAACAAACTAATCCAAGATACCTGTTTTTCCAAACAGAATTGGTCCTGATGGTTTAATCAAGGTGAATGACTTTACCCAAAACCCCAGGGTTCGGCTGGAATAAAAGCACAATTTCGACAGGAATGGTTACACTTCAGAATGACTGAACTCCATCCACCATCTAAAGTCAATTTTCTTGTACAACTGGTACAACTAATAAACAATTTGGCAACATATGAAGCCAGAAATGTGTGGAATTCAGATGGAAAATTGTTGGGACAAATGCACTGGAGTGAAAGCGACTGACAGCATGGATAGAAAACACATCTCAAGTCAAAGCCAAGCCTTGATTTAAAAAGCTAGGATGCTGATTGGCCTGATTTTGGTGCTTTATGGTTGTGAGGTGTAGTTTAGATGAGTATCTTTTACATGGTCAGCAAGTTTTTACCAGTTTACTGCTCTATGCTAGCCATTTATCCAATCCTTTATTCACTTATCAATATTTATTGAGGTGTGTTCCAGGAATAAAGGTGCCAGATAAGATGAAAACATTCAGTTGAGTTGAATTTCAGATAAATAACAGAATCTATATGGTTGACTGGTTGGTTTTGTTAGGCTGGGTAATCCCAGCCAGAAACTAAGGCGGCTTCTAGGTATGCACAGGCATATCATATCTGAATTCCTCTCAAGAAGTCAGTCTAGCCAGATGTGGTGGCGCATACCTTCGAGGGAAGCAGAGGCAGGCAGATCTCTATGACATCAAGGCAAGCCAAGTCTACATAATGAGCATAATGAGTTCCAGGGGCTATAGTTCCCTGGAGACAAAGAAAGATGAAAGAAAGAAAGAAAGAAAGAAAGAAAGAAAGAGAGAGAGAGAGAGAGAGAGAGAGAGAGAGAAAGGCAGGGGAGGGGAGGGGAAAGAGGGAGAAGAAGAGCTCACAGCCTAACACTAAGATATGAACAAATGAACATGTCACTTTAAGTAACCCTTAGAAGTACTAATTCAGAGTGTAGAACCCTGAGACCCTCTTCATTCACCTGCTACCCCCCAATCCCTCCAGACCCCCACTAATTGCTCTTTTAGCTTCTGTAAAATGCTTGGCTGCTGCTTTAGACATGCCTAGACATACCCTGGCATGCCCTGACCCCTGCCTGCTATTCCCCACCCCCCTTCCAGGAAACTATAGATTAAGCAAGATCGAGCATAAAAACTGCCCTATAAGGTAAAAACAGAGACTCCTGGCCCCACAGGTAACAGTCAGCACATTCCACAGCCCTGAGAATAGCACCTACCAATAAGAAACTTCCAGGGCTGCATCTTATACATCCAATCAGTTTAAAATTATGTTGGTGCGCGCGGGCTCCTTGAACCAACCAAAATGTATCTTCGGTATCTCCCCCCACCCTTTTATCTAAAACCTATAAAAGGCTCCATTGTCCCTTACTCTGGGCTCTCAGCACGGATCCGTTGAGTTGGTGAGGTCTGAGAGCCCAAGCTTAAGCTCGAATAAACCATAAACCTTTGCTTTTTCATCTTGGTGTGTTGGGTCCTTGGTGGTCTTTTTGGGGTCCAGTGGATGGGGTACAACAAGAGTTCCAGAAATCAGTAGTTAGTAGTTCAAGAGATCCATTTCGACAGTACTTATCTCCTGCATGAGTTCAAGTCCTTCTAACAGGCTCTTAAGGTGTTTTCTTTCTTGAAAGAAATAGAGGAAATGAACAGGCTATGATTATTGGTGTGTGTGTGTGTGTGTGTGTGTGTGTGTGTGTGTGTAAGCCAGAGGTTACTGTTGCAATTAAAATTTCCTTGACTGCTCTTTCACTTTATTTTTTTGAGACACAGGGTCTGTCACTGAACCCAGCACTAACTGATTGGCTAGACTGACTGACCAGTGAGCTCTGGACATCCATCTATTTCTGCCTTATCCCCATACTAGAGTTATAGACATATGCAATTACATCCAGTTTTTAAAAGTACATTTTTATTATTTGAGAATTTCATACGATGTATTTTTATCATATTCACACCCTGGTCCTCCCCCTAATTCCTTCCTTGAGAACCACCCCTTTGTCCCTTCTCCCTCCTAACTTTGTATGGTTTTATTTAATTAATTAATTTTTTTATAACCCACCAAGTTCAGTTTATGTTGCCCATATACTCATGGATGTGGAACAGTTTACATGGGTGCTGCAGAGCTGAGGATCTGAACTCAGGACCTGAAGCCTCTGGCTTCATTTCCCCAGTCCCTTACTATTGTTCTTAACATCTGGTGTGACAAGGTTGCTGGATTGAGCCCCTCTACTTGTAATATAATTCCCCTTAAATTTGTTTTGCTAAAAAAAAAAAAAAACCCAAAACAACAACAACAACAAGAAAAACAAAAACCCCATCATATCGGCTTGTGTAAATATATCCCTTCTCTATACAGCCTGAGGAGAATTTTGTCTGTTTATGTCTAATGTGAAAGACAATCTTAGAAGGAAAGATATGGGCCCTTGATTTTTCCTTAGAGCCAAACAATCAAAGAACCTGAAACAAATTCTTTGCCCTGCAGAAGGTGGGCAATGACTAATCCTGCCTGTTTTCCTGGTCAGTGTGGTGTAGGTCATTTCTATCCATTCAGGGACCAAAGGCTGTTTGAAAGGCTAAAGTATTACAGGTGAAACCTGGCCCTATAATTCATCAGGATTAGAAAATGAATGGAAGCCTTTAACTTGCCTCAATTGCTTGGCATCTCACAATTTCTCTTGCACTATTACCAAAGAATTGAAATATACTCTTGCCTAGGAGTGGGGGGGGGGAGGGCAACAGCCCTAATTTAGAAAACTATAAAGTAAAAAGATAAGTTCACAAACATAATGAAAAGGGTCCTTGTACTATTGGGAAATCAGATTGAAATCAGAAACTCAATCTTAGCAGCCACACGTAATCTTAGAATAAGAATGAAATCCCACACATTAAAGTGTGTAGATTGGATACAGATATGAAGTTATTGATGATACAGCAGTCATCAACTGAGACTAAGCAATTGGCAACACTGTTGTTGCATTATTGCTTTTTTTTAGAAAAAAATGCATGTGTGTGTGTGTGTGTGTGTGTGTGTGTGTGTCGGTTAGAAGACAACCTAGGGTGTAGGTCCTTGCCTTCCACCTGGTTTGAGACAGGTCTCCTGTCTGCTGCTGCATTTCCCAGGCTAGTTGGCCCTGTATTCTCCTGCCTCCACCTCCTATTTACCCTAGGAATTCTGGGATTACAGATGTGTGTAACTGCATCCAACTTTATGTACATTCTGGGGATCCAGACTCAGCTCTGCATGCTTATGTGATAAAGTGCTTTACCCACTGAGTCATCTTCCTAGTCTGTTCTGTCGCTCAGTATCTAAGACAACTTTAATGATGTTTTAACATTTAATTGGTATTATTGCTTCTCCATGAGCCAGGCACCAGTCCAGGGAGGCTGCAGGGCAATATGTGACTGACATAGTGCTGCACTGAAATTCACTCCTGACCCACAAACCTGGCACATTCTCCCCTCCGAACTCCTTCTTTATAATGAGATCATTCCAATGAGACTCTTGATTCTTGTCAACAGACCTTGTCAGACCCATCCTTCCTATCACAGGCCTTCCTATCACACTCAGCAATTTCTGCATCCTAGCATGACCCCAGCTAAGCTGTCAAACTAAGAACCTTAGAACAGATGGTATGTATTTCTTACTTCAAAAGAAAACACATTCAGGAAGCAATAAACCTAGGATTTTATAAAGAAAAAGAAGTGGGTTCTTTCCTTCCTAAATTAAGATATTTTGATGAAAGTGAAGGCTGCAGATACATTTAAAGCTTCAGTGGAAAATATAAAAAATACCGCTTAATTCCATTTTTCACTGTGTTTCTTGCCCTGCCTTCTCCTTGGTACCATTCAATTAGTGACCCTTTACCCCTCAACCCCTAGTTAGCCAACAACTTCCAGTATTACCCACTATGCAACAAGAGTTGAACACTTGAGTGTGGATAACTGGTTTTGAATTAGATTAGAAGAGGAATCTTAACCTGAAATTCTTGGAGTGGCTCCCGAATACCTCTAATGATATTTCATGCAAATATATTGCAGAAATGTGCACATTAGCATTTTGCCTGAGAAAAATCTTACAAAGCTTTCAGCAATTCTCAAAGTTGTATATGATCTCCAAAAGTCAAAAACCTTTGGTTGGAAATAACTGCAGAAAGCACCAAATGGTTTGAGGCAAGGCAACAACACAGTTCACAAATCTTTCCAAGCCCAACTGTGTTCAACATGCTTGCAACTTGGGACATTATCCACAGGGTCTTGCTTTTGAATCTTACACCCTGGCTATAAACCTGTGATTCAATTCAGATCTTCACACACATGCAACTTTAGTTTTCTCTTGGAACATGGTCAAACATGACCAGAGAGTTAAATCATTTAGAGGTGAATCATTTGGAAAGGTCATTGGTCCATCGTGCTGAGTTAACAAAGACTGGATGAACTAAATAGAGCTATGCACCCAAGTTAGAGGAACTAAAACCTACAGGTCAGGTTCACAGGACGAGCTCTGGATAGCCCTGAATCTTGAACAGTCAAGTAGCTGGCAGTCCCAGTGTGCCAGAGTAGTCTAAAAATGGTTGGTTCATTTACTCACTTGATGAATAATTTTAAAAAATATTTTATTTATTATTTTTATTTTATGTGTATGAGTGTATTGCCTGCATGTATGTAAGTGCACCCGTGTCATGCAATGCCTGCAGAGGATAGAAGATGCCATCGGATCCCCTGGAACTGGAGTTATAGACAGTTGTTAGCTGCCATGTGGGTACTGGGATTCAAACCCGGGTCTTCTGCAAGAACAGCCAGTGTTCTTAACCACTGGGCCATCTCTCCAGCCCTGATGAATAATTTTTAAATCCCTATTATATGCAAAGAATTGTGCTAGAGAGTTGGGACCGTCCCTGAACAAGGTAAGGTCTTCAAATTCATAGAAATTAAATTCTACTTGAGAATGCAGACATATAACTATTAAAAATTATAATTATGAGAATTGTTGCTATTCCATTTTCATTTGGGGCATGCATCGTCATTTTCAGGAGGCAGAGAAAGACATGGAAAGTTGAGGAACTAATCTGAGGGTAAACTCAGAAGCTTACAGATAAATGTGTATCATAGCTCCCATCTCCACCAAATTTCAGATTCAAATACCTACCAGTAGCTGACTCAGTCCTCTCTAAAATGAATCCAGGGCACTCTATAATTCAACATGCCCTAAAGACATCCTAGTTTTCCTTTTTCCACAATAAAATACCTAGAGGGTAAATGAGTCTATGAACTTTCCTCTTCACTGTGGCTTTTTCCTGCATAAAACACAGAAACCAGAAGTAAGGACAATATACACTCCTTTACCTTCCCAAATCTATCACCAAGTCTGTCCATTTAACCTCCTATGCTTCTCTCAAATGGGCCCCCTTCATCACTTCTAGGCCCTTCCCTGTTGTCCCAATGTCCTTGTATTGAACCCAGACTTCCTATTAGCCTGGTCCTGGCAGGAAACAGAAGATAGCCCAATTTAAAAAAATAATTGAAGATTTTACAGAGCTGTGGACAAGGAAACCATCAAGGGGTGTTGTGTAACCCAGGGACCAGCAAACCATTATCCCTCTTAGGACTGAAGAGATAGGGAGTGGAGGCCATGTTTTACTGGAGCCTCCAGGAAACTGGAGCCCTGGGAGCTCTGAAGGAGCTATATTTGCAGAAATCTTATGCATCAGCTGATGGTTCTGAATGGAGACATACCTCAATCTCTCTCCTTCTTCTCTATCTTCAAATGGTTATTTCTATCAACTAAACAAAACCTGTGGAAATGGGCAGCAGGCCCCAATCTTAGCTGAAGCTATTTTGGGCAGCTGATTACTGAGCTCTGAAGGAGCTATATTTGCAGAAATCTTATGCATCAGCTGATGGTTCTGAATGGAGACATACCTCAATCTCTCTCCTTCTTCTCTATCTTCAAATGGTTATTTCTATCAACTAAACAAAACCTGTGGAAATGGGCAGCAGGCCCCAATCTTAGCTGAAGAACTATTGGGCAGCTGATTACTACTGAGTAAGGAAGAGCTGATCTTCTTTAAGGGAGTGACTCTAGATAGGCTGACTAGACCCCAGTGGATGAATTTGTACTGAGGGACAGTTCTGAGTGACAAGGAGAAAGGCAGAACTAGGGGTGGGGGAAAGAACTTACATCCATGCTTGCCACTGGGTGTGGTGGCCTACATCTTTAATCCCAGCACTTGGGAGGCAGAGGAAGGCTGATCTTTGAGAGAGAGACTAGAAAGCTGGGGCTATTGGGAGACCTTATCTTGAAAAACAAAATCAAACAAGCAACCATGTTTGCCTTTCCCCTTAACACCCTATGCAGCATAAAGGTCCAGATAGCAAATAATTTAGGCTTTGAGGGGCACAGGGGCTCTGCCACAACCACTTAGTTCATCAGGAAAGTGGCTGTGGGTAATACAAAAACCAATGTGATTGTTCCAGCATTGGAGGATGCTCACCAACATGGTGGGTGGGCCTTCCCCACATACTTCACTCAGACACACACAAAACTCCCTCACTGACACCCCCAAAGTAATGCTTCACAAGTCTCTATATATTTATTTCACATAACAAGATGCATCTGTCCCATATATAACTCAAGATTTTCTTATCTCCAACATTTTTATGTCTACCCTGCTTACATAGTCTTTTATATAGCCCTTATAATGAGAATTGCCATTTGGGGTTTCAGAATTTCACCATTCAGGATTTGGGGCTTTGGGATTGTCTCTTTCAGGATTATAATCTGAACTAGTTCCAATTAAACTTTATGGCACATTATTTTCACATGCCATGAAATTTTATTTTTGCGGTGGGGGCTGGATTTATGGCTCAAAGGTTAAGAGCACTGACTGGTCTTGCAGAGGACCCAGGTTCAGTTCCTAGCACCCATATGGGAGCTAACAGCAGTTGGTAACTCTAGTTCCAGGGGGATCCAATGCCCTCTTCTGGCCTCTGTGGGCATTGCACAACATGGGTACTTAGATACATTCAAGTAAAAAACATACATATAAAATAAAAATAAATCAAAAAATTAAAAATATTGTTCTTTTGATTTAAAGAAAACTACTTTAAAATGCTACATTTCTCATGGGCTGAACAACAACAAAAAATAGTAACTGATGGGATTTGGCTGGGGGCTGCCAACTGGAGGCCCCTGCACTATTCTGCTGCCGCTATCTTTGTGAAAGTTCATTCAGTTCACGGTGCTCTGTTCAAACCTTTACATATTCCCTTTGTCTTTAGGATAGTAAACTGAATCCTTAACCTATGAGGACTTCAGAGTCCAACCCCTATACACATCTCCATTCTCATGGTATTCAGCCACAGGCCCTCTAGTCCCCTTTTCACTCAACATGCTATATTGTTATGTTTAGAATACCCCCCCATTTGTTGACCTGCCAGACAAGATGTGTCCACTGGTGCAACAAAACCCTGACTCTGTGGGGCTATCCAATCACTTTCTGATTGGATTTGAGGCCTGCTCTACAGGAGGGAATTCATAGCTGGTACTGTCAACCTGGTTAAAAGCCCATGGCTCAGGAGGTCATAGGCCCTAGGAGGGACTCTACTATTTGCTTTTCTAAATGTCATATTGTCAAATTATCTTCTAAATATGTTTATACCCATAGATCTGTGCTGTGCTCAACCTTAGGATTTTTGCAGTGGTGAGTGGTTAATGCAGAGATTCATAGTTGGCCAAAGTGCTGGTAATAGGTGACATGAGTGTTCAGCTCCGAATGAGACATCTATATCAACCTCCCCTCCCCCAAGGCTCAAAGAACATCACGGAAGAGAGAGTAGAAAGAATGTAAGAGCTGGAGGATGGGGAGAAGAGCTGTGAAATGCTGACTTCTGGAAATCCCATGGCTAATACACTCATGAACTCAGCAGTTGTGGTTACCTGCACAAGACCAAGTCAGTCAAAATTGGTGCCCCCCAAGCTGAGTAGCTATTGAAAGTTGATGGCTGCTGGGGGAGGGAGAATCATTTTTCTTTGGGGGTGTGACCACTGATAAATTGCCTATGCTCCGGTGGATGGTCCTATATCCACTTGTTGGGGGCAGCACTAAAAAGACATGAGGGGCTAGAGAGATGGCTCAATAGTTAAGAACACTTGCTGCTCTTGTGGAGGACCTAGATTCAGTGCCTAATACCAACATGATGGCTCACAAACATCTGTAACTCCAGTTCCAGGGGATCTGATTCCTTTTTCTGGCCTCTGTGGGCATCAGGCAAACATGCAGCATGCGCACGCATGCATGCACGCACGCACACACATTTTAAAAACATAAAAAAAGCTTTTTTAAAAAGAACATGAAATACATAGGGATGTGTTGGGGGAGTCTGGAGGAAGGCTGTGGGGGATAGATAAAAATCAAAATACATTGTATACATGTATGAAAATCTCAAAGAACAAAAACCTTTAAAAATTAAAAAATGAAACCCAAAATAAAAATAACAAAAGAACATCCTTCTCTTCCCTTTCATCAAATTCACTTTCAGATCTTAGCCTACTGCATTATTTATAATAGCAAATAACAAATGAACAATAGAAAAATGAAAGGAAAGAAAAAAATGGAAAACCACACAGCCATTTTATAATTGTGTACTTATTAACAAGAAAATGTTAATGAGCTATTAAAAACACAGTAATATACACATATATTCAAGTGGCAAAAATCTGGAAGGGAATGTATCGAAGATGCAAAAGATGCAAAGATCCCTGGATTGTCGGATTATAGGTGATTTTTAAAAACATATATTTTAAAAAGTATGTAAGAAAACAATAAGGCAAACAAAATTAATCAAGAAAAACACTTGTAATCTCAGGTGAACACTTAATAGAGGGATGGAAGGAAAGGGAAGAGTTTCAGGGCCACTTAGGCATGTCTAACTTTTGAGACTGGGACATGATGTTGACATCTACATGGCAGAGAACTGCAGTAGAGTTACTAAAAATTGTAAAGAAATCTTACTATGTTTTAAATAAGTTTATGATTTGTGTTAGAACATGTTCATAGATATCCTGGGGAATATGCTGCCCGTGGGCTGTAAGTTGGACACACTGAATACTGGTTTTCTAAAATCCCTCAGTAGTATATATTGTCAGAAAACCTTTACTTCTGGGGTTTTAATATATATTTTTAAAACATTTTTATTTTATGAATATGTAAGATTACCACATGGGTACAGTGCCTGCAGAGGCCAAAAGAAGGCAACAGATACCCTGGAATTGTTATAGGTGGTTGTGAACTGCATACGTGGATGCTGGGAACCAAACCCAAGTCCTCTTCAAGAGCAGGAAATGCTATTAACCACTGAGCCATTTCTCCAGCCCCCAGGGTTTAATATTAATGCAATTTTTGCAAAGGTAGCCTTTTAACCATAAAAATAAGAGTCAGTTAATTTTTCTCCAACTTAATTTAAAACAATCCCTAATACAATGTCTTAAATACCAATCTCTATTACAATTAGGGCAGCTAGGCAGTGGTAAGAATATTGCCATTTTCTATAAACAACAATCATCTCAATAGAATAGACAACAATGCACAGAATAAACCCCAATCCAAACAACTGAGCACCGTTCTAAGAGGCCACAGTAATTAATTTTGAAATTGCAATCAGAATCACTAAAAGACTACCGTACTGAGGTTTGATTTTTATTATCAAGAACAAATTACATTTAGAATGGCACACAAAGCTCCAAATCACTTCTCAAACCTATCTGGTAGTCTATCCTAGCCCCTTGCCCTGGTGCTGGCTTACCCCTAGTCCCCACTTCAACCAGTTGATGCAGGTGCTGCAGGACCAGCATTTTCAGGTGTTGGGAGCCAGGCTCATCCCAGCATCCAGGTTCTCTTCGCAGCCCTTCTTAGCCAGGATCAAACACGCCACCAGCCCCGCCCACCGGCCCCGCCCCATCGCCCCTCCCCGCCCACCACCCTCGCCCCCTCCTCTCGGGCACGCTGTTGGCTCCTCCCACTCTCCGCTAGTGTGTCCGGTTGGTGAGCCGGGCGGAGTCTATTCCCCACACTGGGACCCAAAGGAAGACAGTAAGGCGCGGCAGTCGGCGGGCGCCTTCCCGGAAGCGGAAGCGTAGGGGGCGGGACAAGGTGTGCGCGGCGGTTAATTCCTTTTTCCTTTCGTCTTCCTTTCCCTACATCTGGGATTTTCTGAGACTGAAAGAAATGGTCAGGTCCGGACCTCGACCCGGCCAGGTGAGGGCTACTGACCGAGTCCACTGAGGGGTGGCGAGGGACCGACCTCGGGGACTGGAGCCGGGGACTAGTGAAGGTGTTTGAAAAATGAAAACAAAGATTGCTGCGGCAGTGAAAATGGTGAAGGGACCTTAACACCGCCAGTCTGTCCCCTAGGTCAGTGCCCTGTTCGAGGTCTGGTCCTCCAGAATCTTTGGGTTCATCATTGGCTCAGTAGCTAGTTCGTCCTCTCCCTGCATCCAGCTTCTCTACTCTGAAGCAGTGCCTCCCTTAGCTGAACTTCAAATCCAGCGTTGCTTATATTTTGAGGTCTCCCAAATAGCGTCTGTGCCTCTAGCCCTACCGTTCTCAAATGCACGCCTCTTTAAAGGACTTAAGTTCGACATGGGAATTTTTTTTTTCATGATTAATATTATTTGGCAGCAGAATCGTTTTGAATACTTTTCAGCCCCAATGCAATCATGTCTAGCACTAAACCCTGCAGTGCTCTGGGTGATCTGCCCTTGTGCCTACGTGACTTTTCAAATTATAGTTGAAATACCTTTCTGGACCAGATAATGCCATTTTCCATTTGGCCTTCAGTTCAAGAGCCATCTCTAGAATCTCTGCCTCATATCTCCATTGGTTGAGTGCTCCTCAGGTCACCCTCCACATCCTGTAGTCTTTATCAAACTTTTCATGCTGGACATGTTGTTAATCTACTAATACTCGTAGAGTATTTAATTCTCTGTCTTGGAAGTTTAGGACAGCACTTGGCATATTATAGGCTTTCAGGGAGATTATCAATCATCTATCTATCTATCGAAATATTTAGGTTTTGCAAGCATGTGTTTTTCCTGTTGTTTGCCAAAATGCCTATAATGGTGTCTTTCCTGTTAATGTGACTCTTGTATTTTTTTTTTTCAAGACCTGGCTTCAAACTCTCCTTTCTTCATGAATACATATAGCCGACATGTATTTGAAAAGATGCTCAACATCACTAATCAAAGAAATGGAAACAAAAGCCATGAGATATTTCCTAACACAAAATAAATGTTAGCGAGGGTGTTGAAAAATTGCTACTCTTTGTACAATCTTGATGGGAATAGAAATAGTATATATAGCTGCTATGGAAAATTATGTGAGGTTTCCTCAAAAAATAAGCCAAGCCTGGCAGTACACAACTATAGTCCTAGTGTTTGGGAAGCTAAGGCAGGTTCATGAATTTGAGGATAGCTTGGATAACAATGATACTATTCCATAAAAACCAAAATATTAAAAGTAGAGCTCATATGATCCAGTCAGCTCCATTACTGGATATTTATCCAAAGAATTGAAATCAAGATCTTTCAGAGCTATTTGGATTTTCTCATTGTAGCATTATTCACAATAGCTAAGATGTGGAAACAACCTAAATAGCTACAAATGAATGGATAAAGAAAATATATGGTATATGCATTCAATAGACTATTACTTAAGGAAATTCTGCTGTATGCAGTAGCAAATGTGAACTTTGAGACATGCTGAATAAAATAAGTACTCCTAGAAGGATAGACACTGCACGATTCTACTTAAATGTGTCTGAAGTGGTCTAACTCAGAAACAAGATAGGATGGTTGGTTGCAGGGGCTGGGGTTGGGGAGAACAAGGAGTTTGCCATTCACTAGGTATTAAGTTTTGAGTATATAAAATGAAATCTAGAAATCTGAGTAATGTGCCTATGGTTAACACTTTGTTAAAGTAGATGAGCTGTTAAATATTTTTATGACAATCTTTTTTTTTTTTTTAAAAAAAAATGAGCTTGTAGCAACTTGTAAAAAGGAGTAGCTCATAAAGTTTGGGGGACTTTTAAAAAAATATTTTATGTGTATGAGTGTATTGCCTGCATGTATGTAAGTGTATCTGTGTCGTGCAGTGCCTGTGGAGGTCAGAAGACGATGTCAGATCCCCTGGAACTAGAGTTACAGATGGTTGTTAGCCACCATGTAGGTACTGGGAATCAAACCTGAGTCCTCTGCAAGAACAGCCACTGCTCTTAACCACTGAACCATCTCTCCAGCCCCTGCAGGGACTTCTTAAAAATAATAAAGGAACCAACTTGAAGGACTTCCCAGTGACTGAATCTGGGACAATTGATTGAGCATCAGTATTAATGATAGTGGATCATAACCCATTGATAGACTATGAGTCGATGAGTCTTAACAGATTAATAAGGAAGAAGGAAAAGTGCTTCCCTAGTTGTACATTTATTAGTCAAATGCCAGCTAATAACTGTAGAAGGAATAGTGTTAATTAATTTAAAAAAATTGATAAACAGTTGAGTTAAACAAGAACCAGCAGTGGATTTTCAAACAGGTTAAAGGAAATTTAAGAGTTATAACAATGTAATATAATGTGATCCTGGATTGAACATAGACTTTTTTCTATAAGGGGCTATTGAGATATGTGTAACATGAATAAGGTCTGTGTAGATTGGGCCTATAATATTAAATGTTAAGTTCTTGATTTTTACATTAAAAATCTTAAGCATTTAGGAATATGATTGCTATGTATTTTGCAGTGGGTAAGTATCTCTGTTTTGAGCTATGTGTCAGACAAGAAATTTTTTGTTTTGTATGATGCTTCAGATTAATCTCAGAGCCTTGTGTGTGTTAGTCATGTGCTATGTCACTTAGCTGCATCCCCAGCCCTTTATGTATCTATTTTGAGGGAGAACATAGCAAATGTAAAATGTCAAGAATTATGGGATATGGTTGAAGTATATACAGGACTTCTTTGCACTATTACTTTTTAAAAAACACCTCTCCAAATTAGAAGAAAATTTCAGTGTGGTAATTGCTGTTTTAGGATACTTTTTATAAAGGGTAATTTTCATTCAGATTTTTTTACAGTGTGGCTTCATGTGCATATTTTGGGGGAGAACCATGTAGATAATCTTATAGTTATGTCATATATTTATCTCAGATGATATATTTTAAGTTTGAAAGGTAGTTAAGTTTGGTAGTTGTTAGGCTTGATCTGGGATATAGCAGCATTAGGGCTTGGATTTTTATTTTGACTCCAAACAGAACATTAACATAGATATACCAAAGAGAAAAATTCTGAGATTATCATGCAGAGACCAGTGGTTCTTAATGCTGCCTTCATGACCTCCATCAGATTCCAAGGCATTGAAAGATGTATAACTCTTACCAATCCAGTTTTTAAGAATGTGTTCTCTGTAGGATTATCAAGAGGAATATATATGCAAATGATAGAATATTACATAACCAGGAAATTTTGTAGTTATTGCTTAGGGCTATCTTGGTATAAAATATGTAAACTTACTGGGTCTGGTGGTACACACCTTTAATCCCAGCACTAGCACTTGGGAGGCAGAGGCAGGTGGATCTCTGTGAGATGGAGGCCAGTCTATTTTACATAGAGAGTTCCAGGCTAGGTGGGGCTAACAAAGAAACCACAAGTATGTAAACATATCAAGACAGATGAATGAAACTGCCAACGAGTACGTGGAGTACATGCAGAGAGAAGACTAAGGAGGGGATCAGGGACTTTTCTGTCTTAAAATTGTATTTTGAATGAAGATTATAGTTATCAGATGCAAAGTTATTAAGATATAAGAAGGTATACGATAGAAAGTTTCCCTATTGCTCTGCTCTGAAAGTCCCCCTTATCTGCTTCTCCAGATACCCAGTTTTCCTCTCTGCAGGCAACTTTCTTGCTTAACTTCCAAGATAGATACTGAGTCATAAAAGCAAGTGCACATCTTTTCCTATTTTCTATGTAAATCTATCCCACCTTTATATCTTTAAAATGCAAACTTAAAAAAAAATGTTGAGCTTAAAAAGAATGAGAAAGAGATAAGAAAGCACCATTTTTTTCTGTCCTAATCATGTCAAGCCCAAGGAAGTTAGAATTTGTGAAGAGAGTTTGTTGTTGTTGTTTTTTTTTGTTTTTTTTTTAGGGTTTTTTTGGCCTTTTTGACACAGGTCTCCCTGGAGCCCCAGCTGTCCTGGAACTCACTTTGTAGACCAGGCTGGCCTTGAGCTTACAGAGATCCGTCTGCCTCTACCTCCCAAGTGCTGGGATTAAAGGTATGCACCACCAGGCTTGGCATGAAGAGAGTTATTATTTTTTGGTGGGGTATACATATGTGTACACATGTATGGGTGAGTGTGTTCACACCCATGCATCTGTGCATGGAAGCCGGAGGTCAAGGGTCTTCCTCTGTTATTCTTCACCTTATTTTTGAGACATGGGGTCTCACTAAACCTGGAGATTGCCAGTTTCATCTAGACTGGCTGGCCAGTGAGTCCCTAGGATCTATAGTTCTTTGCTCTCCCTCCTCCTGTTGCCAGAGTTACAGATATGTGCCCTCAAGACTGGCTTTTATGTAGGTACTAGGACCCGAATTCAGGCCCTCATGCTTGAGTAGCCACTACTTTACTCACTGAGTTATCTTTCCAACCCAAGTGTTTTTATTTATTATTATTATTGTACTAGAGATTGGACCCAAGGCCTTATGCATGCTGGACAAGCACTCTTCCTCAGAGCTACCTCCCTAACTGCTTTGTTCTGTATCTTGAAATACATAGTTCAGAGAATTTGGGGATTTTAGAACATGTTCAAGGATTGAGTATAGTCCAAATATAATGGTTAAAGATACCTTTGGCTTAAAATGATACCTCAGTTTTCTTTACAGAGTAAAAAATAGACTTACGGAACAAATACACGTATTACTTGCTTCACATTGTATGTAGAACGAATTTATTGTGCAGCAGTTAAATTATAACCATAGATTTTTAGGATGTATCTCATTTATGAAAAGTGAATGACACCAGGGAGGGTGTTATGACCATGAGGGAACAGTCTTATGGGCTCCTGGGAACTTGCTCATATGAACTTACAGCAATGGTGACAGCATTCACAAGATCCATGCAAACTTAATCAGATAAAACCCAACATAGAACTGGGAAAATGGGCAGAGGGCCCCAACTTTAGCCAAGGAACTATTGGCAGCTGGTCACTGCTGGGTGATGGAGAGTTGATCTTTAAGGGAGTGACGATGCTAGATAGGCTAAACAGGTTCCAATGGGTGAGCTCACACCTGAGAGACAGCCGAGTACACAAACTTGACTCGATAGGTTTTTACATATAAGACAGAATGTGTGAAATCCTATGGGGGTGTGCAGATAGGGAAAGTCTGAATATGATTAAATGTACTGTATGATATCCACAAAAATTCAATAAAATACATATTTTTAAAAAGTTAATGACATACCACATAGAAAGGAAATTTTGGTTCACACCACAACGTGGATGACGCTTGATGATACTATGTTAATTGCAAAAGGACAGATGTGCTTATTTCACTTAAATGAAGTCTTTAGAGTAGTCCCATTTACATAAAGAATATTAGTTGCCAGGGGCAGGGGAGAGAGTCTAAGCACTTACTGTTTCTATCTGACTGTGTGGGGAAAAAAAGCATGAATGATATTTTAGAGTGTCAAGTGGATATGTTAAAACTCTAGTAGAAAATTATTTATGTATTTAATATAATACATTATGCCATAGGTGATATCTTCAGGAAGGCAGCCTGGATCTGCTAAATTAACAAATGGAAAGAAAGGGTAAGTCTTGTAAAAATTTGTAACTTTAGAAAATTTTCAAGTCTTTGGGCTTACTACATTTTTCCCACCTGAGAAAATAGATAGGCCTCTGCCTTCATAAGTTCTGGGGTGTGACTTTTCATTCTGACCAGGTCAACCATTTTAGTGTTTAATGGTCTTTATAAAGTTCATATTGTTCTATTAATTTTATATGTGGTTAGACAAGCATTCTTTTCCAATCCTTGTTGGCAAGGAAAGGATTATTATCTATTTTGAGAATAAAAATACTTGTATTATCTTTAAGAATATCAACTTTGTTTTCTAGGACCTATCAAAGAAAAATAGCACGTTTTAATGCAGATTCTGGTTGTTCCATTCAGTTTGACTCGGAAAGTCAGGTAAGGTTACACTGAATGAATACAGTACATTATTTTAACTAGGCTTCAGGTAAAAGCTAAGAAGTAGAACTAGAATGCATAAGTTAAGTTTGGTTTGCACCAAGGAAGTATTAAGGCTATTGCTTTAAAACATGTTTTATGCCAATAATAAATTGCTTATAGGGGCTGGAGAGATGGCTTAGTGGTTAAGAGTACATGGTGGCACACGCCTTTAATCCCAGCACTCGGGAGGCAGAGGCAGGTGGATCTCTGTGCGTTCAAGGCCAGCCTGGTCTACATAGTGAGTTCCAGGACAGCTGGGGCTACAGGGAGACCCTGTCTCAAAAAGAGGACCCAGGTTCCGTTCACAGCACCCATGTGGCAGCTAACAACCATCTGTAACTCCAGTTCCAGAGGACCCAGTGCTCTCTTCTGGCTTCTGTGGGCATTGTACAACACAGGTGCACTTATATACATGCAGGCAATATACTCATACACATAAAATAAAAATAACAAATAAAATAACTTGCTTATAAAGAAATGTATGTAAAACTGCATAATATATTTTATCTCTTAGTGACTTTCTTCTTACAGACTGAAACTGTACAGGGACTTGACGGTTGTGCTTCTTTGATGCGAGACATTTTGAGAAATGGAGATTCAGGTTTTATTTATTTTTTAAAATTCTTTGCTGGTCACCCTTTCTCAATGATCTCGTTCTTTTAAATGCTAACAAAATTTTGTTTTTATTATTAATAGGTTCAGAAATAGTATCTTCGGAAAGTAGGTATAATTACAGACATTTAGATGGCAAAAAGTATGCATCTAAAAAGAAAGGACATACTGCTCCTTCAGCAGTTCGAAAAGAAATATGTAAGTATTTTTTCTCATAGAGTTAAAAATAATTCTTTGTGTATCTGTGTGTGTGGTACGTGTGTGTGCATTGTGTGTGCAGCTCTTGTGTGTGTGCATGAAAGCAAGAGGTCAATATCAGTTATCTTCCTCAATCACTCTTCACCAGGGTCTCTTCACTGAACCTTAAGCTTGCCAATTCTAGATTTGCTGGCCAGCAACTTCCAAGGAATCTGCCTGTCTCTGCCTCCCCAGCACTGGGAGGATAGGATAGGATAGGTGTGCACCACTGTGCCCAGCTTTCTACATGAATGATGGGGATTTAAACTCAGGGCCTCATACTTACATGGCAAGAACTTTACTGACAGACCCATCTCCTCAGCTCCTAAAGATAATTCTTAATTCTAGGGATGTCCAGTTGTCTTTTATTTGGATTTGCTTGTTTGTGTGAGTTTGCTTGTATTTCTCTTTCTCTGGTCAGCTTCTCATTGCCAAGTAGAAACTTTCCTTACTGTCATTTTCCTTTAAAAAGTATAAAAAAAGGTTCTTTCTGGGTTTGCAGGATAAAAGTTTCAAACTCAGAATGATATTTGGGGGATATATAGAGTGATCTTTGTTTATCCTGCCCCTTGTTTTCATAGAAACCACATACTGGTTGCATTTGAGGTATACTTACATACAATAATTAAAAAATTAACTTGTACATATATATTGTAAATTGTTTGAAGAACTAAATTTTTTGAATTACACAGTTAGGATATATGGGAAACTAGAATTCCAAATTGGATAGGTAAGGAAAGAAAGCCTGCTGATGATGGGCATTGTCTACTTCCAAAGACAGGGCATTTCATTACCCTCATGGTTAACTTTTTCTTACTTAAAATTAAGTGTGGTAATTCAGGAAATATTTTCAAACAAGTTTTGCGTCTGTTGTCTCTTAAAGGCCTACAAAAGAAGGTAGTCTAAAATAGAGTTGAATAAGTCCACAACAGGGGCTGGAGAGATGACTCAGTGGTTAAGAACACTGACTGTTCTTGCAGAAGACCCAGGTTCGAGTCTCAGCACCCACATGGCAGCTAACAAGTGTCCATAACTCCATTTCTAAGGGATCCAACAGCCTCTTCTGTCCTCCATGAGCATTGCATGACATGGGTGTACTTACCTTACATGCAGGCAATACACGCATACACGTAAAAAAAAATAATAAAAAAAGAAAAAGTCCACAATAGAAATTCTGTTTTTAAATTAATATGGAATTGTACGTATTTGGGGGAATACAGTGTGATATTTTAATGCATATATACAGTGTGTACTCATCAAATCAGAGTATGGTGGGAATTCCAAGTGGAATTAGTTCCACAGTTCAGATTGGCCAGAAATGTCAGCACTTCAGTGTATTCATATATTTAACACAGGAGTCAAGTTCAGAAAATCATCTAAGTCAGTCACCCTGACTGTTTAGAGGGAGGGTACAAGCAAAAAGGCCTAGAAGTGAAGGTAGAAAGGCTCCACATTGTCATTCAAGATGCTCCTGAGTTAGAAAACGAAGACTAGAGAAACAGCTTCCTGCAGGCTTTCCATCTTGGAGGCCAGTTACATTTACTTTGTATTACGCTGACCTACAGTATTCATGAGACTGGACACTAGCCACATGTGACTGATGATAACTTGAGATATAACAAGTATAACTAATAGGCTGAATTGCTCTGTGTGTGTGTGTGTGTGTGTAGTGTACTTGTTAGAATGGCTGTGTGCATGCATACATGTGGGTGCACATGAATGTGGAGGTCTGAGGATGACATTTGGTGTCTTTCTTTGATCATTCCCCACCTTTCTTTTTCGAGAAAGTGTCCCTCCTTGAACCTGAAGCTCATTGGTTTGGCTACTCTTCCTGCTTCCCCAGTGCTGGGGTTAGGGAGCATGCTATCACCCCTGGCTGGATTCTGGGGATCTAAACCCAGGTCCTCATACCTGTGTAGCAAATACTTTACTGACTGAGCCATCTTACCAACCCCTTGGCTGAATTTTTAATGTTACTTGGTTTTAATTAATTAATTTGAAAACTGATATTTGATCCAGTTATCAAACTTTTAAGATATTTGGAATGATTTGGATGTGCAAATGAATCTATTCCTTCATCTTCAATTTTAATCAGTCTAAATATAGATCAAGTATTTCTGATGAAAATTCAGTGTCTAGTTTGAGATGTGCTAATGTGTGAAATAAATGATGGATTTTGAGGATTTAATACAAAATAAAATATCAAGCTGGATGTGGTGGTGCACACCTTTAATCCCAGCATTTGGGAGGCAGAGGCAGGTGGATCTTTGTGAGTTCAAGGCCAGCCTGGTCTACATAGTGAGTTCAGGTCAACTGGGACTATAGGGAGACCCTGTCTCAAAAAGAAAAAAAACAAAAAAACAAAAAAAAACTAAGCATGCATTGGGGCTGGAGAGATGGCTCAACAGTTAAGAGCACTGGCTGCTCTTGCAGAGAACCTGGGTTCAATTCCCAGCACCCATACGGTGGCTAACAACCACCCATAACTCTAGTTCCAGAAGAATCTGATGCTCTCTTCTGACCTCTGCAGGCTTTGCATGACAAAGGTGCACTTACATACATGCAGACTATACACTCATCTACATAAAACATATATATATATATCTATCTTTGTTCTTGGACTTAACCATTGAAATGTTACAGCAACCTGTAACTACAACTCCAGGGATCCAATGCCCTCTTATGGTTTTCTTGAGTACACACAGAGACACAGACACACACACAGACAGACAGACACACACACACTTATTTTAAAGAGGGATTAGGGACTGGAGAGATAGCTCAGCAATTAAGAGCACTGGCTGCTCTTGCAGAGGACATGGGTTTGGTTCCCAGCACCCACATGGCTGCTAATAACTGTCAGTAATTGCAGTTCCAGAGAATCTTATGCCCTCTTCTGACCTCTGCAGGCATTGCACGACAGGCACGTACTTAAATACATGCAGGCAATACACTCATATACATAAAAATAAAAAAATAAATTTTTTAAAGGGATTAATGCCATTAAAGAGAACCCCCTGTTCTTCACTGGGATTGTGCATCAGGGATCTTGAGGTCCCACTTATGGAAGGTTCCAGTTTGTGAAAGTACAAAATCATTTGAAAGGCGACAGTGAGCTGAGCCCCAGCACTCATCTCTCTCTGCCCCTGACTGAATCACAGTGTGACCAGTTGCCTCATACTCTGCCTTAGACTATGAGCCAAGATAAAGTGTACCTTCATAAAGTTGCTTTTGTCAGGTATTTTGTAATAGGATGAGAAAAGTAGCTAATATACAGGTCTATTTTGCTGTCTTCCTTCCTTCCTTCCTTCCTTCCTTCCTTCCTTCCTTCCTTCCTTCCTTCCTTCCCTCCCTCCCTCCCCCGGTACGGTTGCTAGGTACGGTTCTTTAAAAAAGAAAAAAATTCGGGGTTGGTTGGGGATTTAGCTCAGTGGTAGAGTGCCTGCCTATCGAGCACCCTGGGTTCGGTCCTCGGCTCCAGAAAAGAAAAAAAGAAAAATCTCCCTTTACTCCCAGATGGCCTGGAACCGACCTTCCTCAATTAGTGAGGTAGTGAGTACTGCTGGCTGGTGTTTTTTTGTTTTTTTTCATAGCTGTCGGGAGTCGAGTTCTTAAGGCTTACTTGAGCATCACCTCCCTGTAGCCCCAGCTGTTCTGAAACTCACTACATAGAACTCACAGGGCTCTGCCTGCCTCTTATTATATAGCCTTCAGCTATACACATGGACTCATGTAGAGATACTGTATCTCTCTCTCTCTCTTTCTTGGCCTTTTTGAGACAGGGTCTCCCTGTAGCCCCAGCTGTCCTGGAACTCACTATGTAGACCAGGCTGGCCTTGAACTCACAGAGATCTGCCTGCCTCTGTCTCCTGAGTGCTGGGATTAAAGGCATGTGCCACCATGCCCGGCTTTTAACTTATTTTTTTTTAATTTAATTTTTACTTTCTGTGTATGAGCGTATTGCCTGCATGTATTTAAGTGCACCACCTACATGCAATGCCCACGGAAGTCAGAAGAGGGCATTGGATCCCCTGGAACTTGAGTTCTGAAGAGATGTTAGCTGCCCTGTGGGTGCTGGGAACCAAAGCCAAGTCCTCTCTGCAAGAGCATCAGTGCTTTTAACCACTGAGTCATCTTTCCAGCCCCTTGTTTATTACCATGTTTACCTTGTTAATACCAGGTTTCTAGGGGCTGGAGAGATGGCTCAGTGGTTAAGAACACTGGTTGTTCTTGCAGAAGACCTGGGTTCAAATCCCAGCACCCACATGGCTGCTGCCAACTGTTGGTAACTCCAGTTCCAGGGGATCCGACAGCCTGTTCTAGGGTGCAGGTAAGGAAAGGGACGCTAAATATGATTAAGATGAGTTGTATGAAATCCAAAAGATAAATAAATAAAATATTTAAAAAAATAAAAAAATATATCAGGTTTCTACTTTGTACATACACTAGTGAGGGAAAAGAATGAAGGAACAGCCCTGCCTAGAGAAGCTTATAGTTTAGTCAGAGGGAGAAGAGAATGGAAAAATAAGTAACAGGTCAGTATGATTACGGCATATGATTTAAATAATAAACTGTGTGCTCTGGGATGGTCAAAAGCAGTCACTGGACTGGAATGATTGATTTAGAAAGGCTTCGTGGAAGATGAGCTTTGGTGAGGGTAGAATTGAATTGGAAGAAATAGTTCATCATGCACAATGTTGTAGAATGGTGAGAAAGGCCAAGTGTCCAAATTGGCCTAGTATGAATGAGACATCTGAGTTGAGAGTGATGGAAAGGTAGTTGGAAAAGTAGGTGGTGGTCAGGCTTTGGGAAACATTAAATGCCAAGTAAGATTTTTTTTTCATGTTTTTTGATCATCTATTTTTCTTATTTATTGATCTCAAAACCTATTTTTTTAATTTTATTTTTAAAATTTTATTCAATGCCCACAGAGGTCAGAAGAGGCTGTTGGATCCCTTGGGACTGGAGTTACAGACAGTTGTTAGCTGCCATGTGGGTGCTGGGATTTGAACCTGGGTCTTCTGCAAGAACAGTTAGTGTTCTTAACCGCTGAGCCATCTCTCAAAACCTATTTTTTATAACTGTCAAAGCATAGAATTGTTGTTCTGCCTTTTACTCTGTTTTCCCCTGAGAGCATGAAATGGACAGAGGACCAAGTGGTCCAAGAGTTGGGACTTCAGTGAGAGTACAATACCCATAACAGATGTTATAACTGAAGGAGAGATCTTACAAGTAGCATTTAATGGAGATTTTAAAGACTAGGTAGAGGCAATTTTTAACTGGAGAAACTTAATTCATTAACTACTTTCAAATGAATTTGGGGTGATCTTCAGGGAATTATAGTAAAACCCACTGTGAAGTGTATGTTCAATTGAACTGTACCTGAGTGTCTTCTTTTCTCCTGAAGTATTATGGTAAAACTTGTCGAAGAATCATATTTAAGAACTCTTTTCCTTTTGCCACATTAGTATCTTCAGATAATAAGAAACTGATACCGAATGAAACTTCAGCTGGAAGTAAAAGAGATACATCAGACATAGCACAAAACTGGTCATTACAAGAACATTACAGAATGTACTCACCAATAATATACCAAGCCCTTTGTGAACATGTACAGACTCAAATGTCACTGATGAATAACTTGGCTTCAAAAGATGGCCCTAATGGAATTCCTACTGTACCTTCTCATACTATGTCTGGTTCAGGTTAGTATGAATGGTTTTTTAAAAATATTTTCTTTATTAGTTTTATTTTATGTGTATGCATGTATTGCCTGAATGTAGGTAAGTGCACCCGTGTCGTGCAATGCCTGCGGAAGACAGAAGAAGGTGTCAGATCCCTTGGAATTGGAGTTATTGACAGTTGTTAGCTGCCATGTGGGTACCAGGATTCAAACCTGGTCTTCTGCAAGAACAGCCAGTGTTCTTAACCACTGAACCATCTCTCCAGTCCCCAGTATGAATGTTTTTTAAAGAGTGAATGTAAGCTAAGATTAAATTACTTTGCTATTTTATTTGTGTGTGTGTGTGTGTGTGTGTGTGTGTGTAATATGAGATGTGACTGATATGTTTTCTACTTCTGTTTTAGAATCTCGGGCAACAGCACATTCTGGTTATGGCTGTAGTGCTTCTACCTCAGTCTGGTCACCTCAGCAGCTGTCCTGCCCTGTGATGGTTCATTCTGTGGGTAGTTTGTATACTATACAAATAATAGCTTGCTTATGGAAATTGTCATCTTAGGAGTAGAATATTTAATTTAGTGATCAAATCTTAATACCCTAGAATATAAAACTAATTTTGTTCAATTGTCTGTAGTACAAAAATTTAAACTATTTATTAAGGATAATAGTGAGCTAGAAAGAGAAGAAATCAGTACACAGAAAAAATCAACCATTCTCACTACCTAAGCACATTTAATACCCTGATGCAGTATGTTTTCATTCATTTAACTTTCTATCTAGAGTTGGTTTTCTGTTTGCTAAGCTCTCTCTTTAAAATAAATCTATAATTTTATGCAGTTATATGCTGCTTTTTCACTTAATGTATTGCTAAATATGTTTTTCTTAGCATATGCCTTTCATGCAGTTAAAGCTGTATTTTTGTGGGTATTTTTTTCTTAAACCAAGAAAAATATCTTTGAGCAAAGTTGTATTCATATATATGTGGTGCTAAGGATTGAGCCCAGGCATAGGCAACATAGAGCCACTGAGCTATATCCCGAGGTGAATATATTTTTATAAAAGCTTTTTGTATGTTTGAACTTAATTCTTAAAATGAATTTTTCTCAAAGTGAAAATGTTTGTTTTAGCCCAAAGATGGACTGATTTTTGATGCTTTTGAAGCATGTGTGGTATTTATAAACAGTCTATTTTAGTCATGACCTTATAATGATCCCTTGCTGCAGAGTAATCTACTTAAGCTCTGAAAAACTAGCTTTTATTATGTAGTGGAGAAATCCGGCTTACTTGTAAGCTGAAAATAACACAAAATTCGTTTCTAATGTTAGAAAATTGTTTTATAATATTAGTGATTTGTGTTTGTTGTAGTCTAAAATGAGTGTTCATACTTTTGAAGACTTGTTTTTTTCTTGTTTTAGGAAGTTCAGACTGATGGTGATCACCAGCTTGGATCACAAGGTCAGTCATCCTCTGTGAACTATCCTGATGTTCCGAGGAATTCATTCAATACCTATCCTGGAATTGCATGTAGCCTTCCCTACACTGACAAAGCAGCTATTCCAACATTTCAGCCGCTGAGCCTTGCTAACTGGATTCTGCCACAACAAAGAGTTCGTAAGGAAGCAGACCTACTAAAGTGTTTTCAAACACATATGTCTCTGTTTCCATCTCATGGAGAAGAAACTCTCCCGGACAGTCAGGCACACCAAAGTCCCACTCAGTCACAAACAGCTTTCTTGGCTACTAATGAAGAAAAATGTGCCAAAGAACAAATTGGAGAGTCCAAAAATGAAGGAAAGTATTTAAACATACATGTGCAAGATGCAAAAATAGCCAAGAATATACAGAAGGCAAAAAATGTGAACCAGACTGCGGAAAAAGTTAGAACCATCAAGTATTTGATGGGAGAGCTCAAGGCCCTGGTAGCAGAACAAGGTAGATGACTACTTCATACTTTTCTGTAACATATGTTATGCTAAGTAGCAGACAAGTTTTCTACCCATCATTCAAATTCACAGTCATTGACATGGAGTTTCTGGTGTTTTCCATGAAACTGTCTTGAGCTAATAAGGAAATGAGTTCTGCTTATTATCTTAATTTTTAGTTTTTTTTTGTTTGTTTTTGTTTTATTTTTTGAAACAGTCTTAGGTAATCTAGGATAGCCTCAAGCAGTCCAGTCTGACTTCGAACTTGCTATGCCACTGAGGATGTAGATGACTACTAATCCTCTTCTACCTCCTAAGTGCTGGGATTACAAGCTGCATTTTTAGCTTTTGATATTCTCTTTCCTGTGGATTTGAAATGTGTTGAGAAATATCAGTCAGTCTATTGTTTACAAGTGTGTAATCATTTTATTTGACTCAAATAGACCTTGAAAAGATTCAGTTAAAGAGAATTTGTAGAGAGAAAATTCTAGTGGTTAGAGGACTAATTATTTTTCTATTAAAAAGATGCAGAGGTTTCCTTCCATCATTTAATAACTGCTGTCATTTAGCAGACTTCATTTTGAGTAGTAACCTAAACCTTTTAATGACATTTTAGAGTTTATGTTTAAGATTTTTCTCTTAAATCAAGAAAAATGACCTGAGTCAAGTTGTGTTCATTTTATTTTAATTTATGTACATATATTACAAAGTAGTGACTTTTGCCTGGAGTGAATTACAAACATAACATCCTGGAAAGCACAGCTATGGATTGTAGAAGCATTGACTGAATTCTTAACATCATAGACTGATGCACATCCAAAAATCTTAAAATCCTTGGAAGTACAGCACTATTAAGCCATAGGTTTAGTGTGTTAAAATTGCTGTTTTCAGACCTTCAAATGATTACTATTCATTTACCCAAATATTTAATCATGATAATAACAATAATAGCATCAGTATTAGATCCAATATCAGGTATCATTTCTTGAATACTTATCATGTGCCCAGCACTGTGTTGTATTTTCTATAAATGACATCATTCAGTTCCCACAACCACTTTCAAAAAGGGATATTATTGCCTCCATTTTAGGTAAGGAAATTGAGTTTTGGATAATAGTATCTCATTTAATCTCAGCAACCCAATGAGGTACTGCTACTGACTCCATTTAGCCATGAAGATACCTAGGCTTCAAGAGTTAAGTAATTGAGATGTTGCTCAGTGTATTAATAAACAGTGTAGTCTTCAAAATTGGTTTCCAGCCTTCTCACCATACACATACAATATACATATGGAACAATGCATGTCTATTAACTCAATTTAACTAGTATGCAATCTATATGTAATTCAAAACGTTATATACAATAAATCACACAATTTTTATTTGTTACTGGTAAAAACTATTTTTAAAAAGATTACTTTTTTTTTTTTTTTTAAGTTGAGTGATTTGACTAAGGTTTTAGCTCTAGAAAGTGCTGGAGCTAGTCTCTGTTTTCAGAGCCCATGAGCAAAGCGGCCTTATAAAGATGAACAGAGACTCTGTGGTAGCTGGATGCCAGTGCGTGCTTGTGCGTGCACTCCATCAGATGCTAAAATACTTGTGGAATGAGATAAATTTTTGTCGTTAAATATACTTTCAACCTCTTGTTTCAATAACATGTTATTTTAGGTGTTCCTTGTCTACACAAATATTGAATGGGAATGAGGAGACAAAAATAAAAGGACAAAAGATCTAATACTTCTACCTGTGACTGTTGGCCACTTCCAAAAATATCCACTCTCCACAGTTAATAAAAACAGTAGTGGTGTCATGGGTCCTATTCTGCTTTTATAAAGTTAATGAAACTTTATCTTAGAAGACCCATATTCAAAATTTTGTCAAATGAATCACCTAAAATGAGCTATTTTTGTAATGCCAGTATCAAAGGTTGTATGTTTATAATGTAACTAATTATATAGGAAACTTACACAGTGATCATAGGTGTTCACCATAGACCTTTGATAGGTATCAACTAGGAGACATGTAAATCACTCTTCCACTTCTCTCCACTGGGGGAAAAAAAGTCACAAAATATAGTAATCTTGTGATTTAAGATTAGTCCTTTATTTACTTGATTTAGTTCTTTAGACTTGTTCTGAGCAAGCAGATGCAGACACCAGACAGCAAAATGGGATATTTGTATAATGAATTCATAAGTAGGTTGAGTTGACATCTATAGCAAATATGTACATATCTATAAAGTTTTTTTAGTAATACTAATAATTTTGTCAATTTAAAATATCGATTTTACTCAACTCTTTTATAGAGGATTCAGAAGTTCAGAGATTGGTAGCAGAGGTAGAGACATGCATATCTGGGCTTCTAGCAACAAGTGGGAACACAAATATTCAAGTTGAAATAGCACTGGCCATGCAGCCACTAAGAAGTGAAAACGCTCAGTTACGCAGGTAAGAATTGCTCTTTGAAGGTGTTTGTCTGTAGGTAAATGTGGTCCACAGATGGAACAAAGATGCCAAGTGACATTATAAGGAAAATAAGACTGCAGTCTTCCTCTGTTTATGCCTTTCCTATTTTCCAGAGATTTCTGTGTTCTCTAACTCTCCCATTACTTATACCCACGAGTACATTTTGTCTCTCCCTTACTTTACCTCTGTTGTCACTTGATTAGTATCATGTAGACTGGAAAATGAAGCTGCCCCATTTAGTTACCCTGTTAGTCTAGGTTATGCTATGTAAACTAAACCACAGCCAAAGTGTATTTCTGTACTCCAAGACCAGTGTGGATTACTGAAGGCTCTTCTTCATCCTGACTCAGATGTGGGAATTCCCTTTATTTAAGGAAGCCACTGTCTCAGTATGTTTTCTACAAGAGATGGGGTGGTGGTAAATGTCTTGTCATCTCACTATCCTTAATATTTTGTAGTCTAAAACAAGTCAGATGGCCCTTCCTAATACAAATGCCTGGGGCATGTCATCAGGAAGGAGAACCTGATGTGGGTGAGCTGAGCTCTAGTAGCCCCACCACACTGAGATATAAGACAAAGCTCACTTAAATTCTTAGATACTTTTTCTTTTTGACCATATTAACTTGTTAGAATTACATTCTTAATTTTTTAAGTAAATTATTGTACTACTTTATTGTAAGGAACAGAATAAACCCCCAGATTTAATAGAGTGATACACAAAGATTGCATTCTGTGTTGAATATTCTAGAAAGCAGCCCCTAGAAGGGAACTCACATGTCCTCTCTTATGAGACAATAACAACAATGCATATTGTCCTGCTTAACTTTGTATTAGAAAGCTGAATATGTATATAAACAAACAACATTACGTTTTCTCACCTGTGTGAGATATTTTAAAAAAAGATATAAACCAATAAGGTCATGTTAAATTGTAGAAGAAACCATCCATACATCGTTTCAACTTCGAATGTCTCTGTGATTATCACCAAGATTAATATTCCAGTGTCTGTTAATGCACTCTGCACCAGAGCTCATTTTCAGGTGCTCCTGCAGCTTTGTGGTGTGAATGCTCCTGAGAGGGTGTCATCATAAAGTGTAGATGTCATGTGAGATGGGATTTGCAGGGACCTACCTGCATAGATTTTTTTTCAAGAAACTTGACAGCAATAAAATAGGATTCCTAGTTGGACAATGGGTAGTTTAAATGTACCAGTCCGTAGCTTACACAGACATGGCATCTAGTGAGACTTACTTGCTCAGATTATATTTATGGATCATTCATTTATGCATTGTGCCTATGATATGGCTAGAGTTGCTGGGTTTAAGTTCTAACAATACCATCATCAGTCATAGCCTAAAGGTCTCCTGTACAATATTAATTTTTTGAAACCAAAATAAAAATAAGCAACATGGATAATAAACAACAACTACTACTAAAATTTATTGAATGTTTGTTTTGTACTGGGCCATTGTTCTGTATATGTGCCATTTCTCTAATCCTCACACTTAACTCTATGGCCATTTTCATCTGTAGATGAGGAAACCAGGGCACAAAAAAGTTTTGTAATTTGCTTAAGATTGAATATTTAAGAGTTAGGAGAGAAGAGACTTAACTCCAGGGCAGTTTGATTTTAGAGCACAGAAATCTTTTTTAAAAAATTTTTATTATTTTTATTTTATGTGTATGAGTGTATTGCCTGCATGTGTGTAAGTGTACCCTTGTCATACAATGCCCACAGAAATCAGAAAAGGGTGTTGGATTCCCCTGGAACTGGAGTTACAGACAGTTGTTAGTTGCCATATGGGTGCTGGGGATCGAACCCAGTCCTCTGCAAGGGCAGCCAGTGCTCTTAACTGCTGAGTCATCTCTCCAGCTCCAGAACACAAAAATCTTAACACGTGTGTTTCCATACCAACTCCAGGAGGAAGTAGAGATGAACTTACTTAGGTGTCACTCTTTAGATGTATTTTGCAGTACACAAGAACAAAAGAATAATACTAGTAAGCATGCCTATTATTTAAAGGAGTGATAATCAAATAATTGTTTTTTTTAAGCATACTAGAACCTAGTCTGAGACTCTTACCATTTTAACATTGTCACCATGGAACTATCAGTGGTTCTTGTTTCCATTCTTTAGTAGAACATTTTAGAATTGCTGTAGGAGTTAACTTAAAAGCTACTCAAGAAAATGAGATTTACTATTTTGTTGGTCACCTTTGTCTTTAATTTTTCTGATGTCTAATTCTTTAGATTTGGCACTAGCACTTTTGGCCGCCTATCCTTAGGAACAAAGACTGAGCACATTCTTGCCTCTGTTACATACTTGACCTCTTTGAAGATTTATTAGATAGGCTCCTTTTACTAGAATGAGGTTTTCAGCAGCACTGTAAGAATTTTTGTGCTACTTTGTAATCTTTATTTGGAAATAATCATTCATAATTGCCATTACAAATAAAAACTAGAATGTATAGGCTCATTTAGAAGTGATTTTCAATTACTAACTTTTTTTTCTGTTTAGATATTTGTAAACGACAGGTTTTTAGCTAGAAAAGTGATCAACTTTTTTCCTTGAGACTTGAAGTATATTGCCATCTTGTGGCAGAAAGAAAAATTGCTAGGAACATTGTTTCTATGGCATCTTGGTATTTTTTGCATTTTGAGCTGTTTCTGTTTGGCCTTCCTGGTTTCTATCCACAAGATGTCTGTAGTGCCTTGTTGATTTTAATTATAGAAATCCCCGGTAAATTCTCAAATATCCTGGATAGAGGTTCAAAGTGCAGTATTTTCTCCTATTAAGCCATTGGTCTAGAGAGTGTGTTAATATTTATAAGACAACTTAGAATTCATGACCACTTCCCACTGTATGCTCAAAAACGTACTCATTAGAGAGACACACATGTCACACAAAAATTAAGTAAGAGCAAATGGAAGGAATCAAGGATGGCACCAAGGTTTTTGTCTTGTCTTTATAATTTGACAGACATTAACATACTTCCTCCAGATGGGAGGTACTAGAGGCAGAGTCCATTTGTTTGATTCCCACCCCCTCCACACACATTTTGTTTTTTAGTTAGGAGAGGTAATGGAAGAGCCAGTGAGTTAAAATTTAGATATAATATGCCATTTAGACAATTTGGAGAAATGAATAAGTCTAGAACAAAAGAACAAGATCCAAGCTAGAATTGTGGATTTGGGGATTTTTCATTGAACACATTTTTAAATTATTTATTTAATAACTATATCATTAGAAGAAGCATTTCATTACAGCAATAACATATTCAATAACAATTTCCAGAGCAAAGATGCATCTCTTTCAAAAGTGGCTGTAAATTTTTAGGTTCATAGTTGAATTAATACAGTTATACAATATTGAACTCATTATGAACCCTATAAGACATTAAATTGAATGAAGTTTTAACCTTTAAAAAAGATCTCTACTTCATTTTAAAATATACTGTTTCATACAGAAAAACTCATTTTTAATGCTACTAACACTTAGATGTTTGCACATGCCTCTCTAATCTCTATATAGTTGATTATTACTAGTCACAGTCAGTTACACGCGGATCTTTGGCACCTGAGTATGGATATAAAGTCATCAGGTAGATTTCAATGGTAATGTTTTTTACCTCTACTAATTAACATGATGCAAATGTTTATGCTTCTTCCTCAAATATAACACAATTTTTTTATTTGTTGATTTTTTTTGTGTGTGTGTATTTCATACAGAACATCCCAAGCAATCTTACTCATCTATACTCCCACATCCTAAATGGTACCCTCCCATAGCCCCCCCCGCCACCCCCCATTGGAGCCCATATACTCTGTCATCCCTGTTACTGTCGACTGTGTTGTCAGCGCCCCAGCCATTCCCCAGTGCTTGTCCATCTGCTGAATCTAGTCAGCACATATAGAGTTCCTTGTTTTAGGAAGATCAGCTGTTTCTCATCTAGCAGCAATCATTTGCCAATAATCCTTTAGATAAGATTGGGATCTGCTGTTCATTTTCCCAGTTCTATGCTGGGTTACTGTCTGTGAGTCTCTTGGGCCACTCTGGCCAACAATTCAAAGGAAGGTATCTCCTGTTTGGCATTGTTTCTTATTATATATCCTTTATCTCTACACATGGACTCTTAAAGAATTATATTGATCTCTTTAATCTTTGTTTATACTTTCTTTTTGGGTGTTTAAGACTATATAGTTGGCCCAGATAAGCCAATTTGTTTTTACTCTTAGGACTGTTTGAGGATCTGTTCCTCAAGGGTCACATGGGCTTGGGAGGAGACCCTGGCTCCTTTCTTTTACCAGTTCCATCTATGTGAAGATAAGTCAAAGGTCCTGCTTGACCGTGGCTGGTTTCACTTCAAAACCTGGAGGAAATGTTTCCTCTGTGTTGACCCTCCTCTTTGTAGAGTGGATACTGGTTCAAGTCCATTTAGTGGGGTCTCCATGGCCTCCTTGATCAAAAGGATAGGTGGCTCACCACAGTTACAGGACATTTTGAAAGATGCTCATAGTCCCCAGAACTTAGTCAACCTAGGAAGGCAAGGAGCAAAAACTGTCCTTTATGTCTTTCTGACCAAATTAGTATAGGCCCCAAAGTATGGCTGTTAAATATCCAAGAAGGTTAGTTCCATCAGTCTGGTACTTTTAGTTACCATGTGCCAAGTATATAGAGCTTGGGCAAAGACCAAACGTTCTCAGATAAATCTTGCCTAGATATAATAAACCTTGATTAGACATTTATTATGTTCTTTGGGCTAATTGTATGTCTAATTTGTCAGTAGGTTGTTGGACTACTATCATTCCCTCTGTTTCTAAAACTAGCTAGGCATTATTTATCTTTCACATTGTCTAACCCTTCCACCATGGTTTCCCCATTTAAAGTACCCCCATTCTTCCCATTTCTCCTTTAATAATACCCTTCTCTTATGGTCCCACCTCTCTTGAGCTCCTTCTTTCCCTTTATCTCCTAGGTTCCT